AAGACTCTAGGTACTTTTGAGGAGAAATAAGATTGGTTTTTAATACTCGTATGATTTAATTATGAGGACTATGTATAAGCATTAAATCCAATAGTTTATCTAGGGTAAATGTCGACCTTTACATGTGAAACCGACCATGATGTGTTGTTTTTATGTTCTAATTGATTGAACGTGATGTTCGTGTTATGTTGTTTGTGTGGTATAGCCTATTAAACATGATGTGTGTGTATACGATGAAGCAACTAATGTTAACCTCAAAGGTTGATCTTGTGTTTTACAATCAAACATGATATATATGTATATGACTTCGACCATTAATGGTTTACTAATCTTGTGTTATAGGCTTGAGCCATTAGTGGCTCACTAACCGTATTATGGGTTGAAGCCATTAGTGGCTTGCTAATTTAAACCATATTTTTATGCACCTCTTTAAGCCATATGGCCATGCATCTTTTTAAACCATGTTGTCATGCATCTTTTTAAGTCATATTGTCATGAATCTCTATAAGCCATGTCCTCATACATCTCTTTAAGTTATGTCCTCACGCTTCTCTTTAAGTCACATCTTCACATATCTCTTTAAGCCATGTCTTTATGCATCTTTTTAAGCCATGTTGTCAAACATCTCTTTAAGCCATTTGTCATGCATCTTTTTAAGCTATATCCTCATGCATCTCTTTAATATATGTCCGTATGCATCTCTTTAAGCTATATCCTCATGCATCTCTTTAATATATGTCCGTATGCATCTCTTTAAGCCATATTGTCATGCATCTTTTTATGTCATATCCCCATGCATATCTTTAAGCCATGTTGCCACGCATCCCTTTAAGCCCTGTCTTTATGCATATTTTTAAGTCGTGACTTCATGGATACCTTTAAATTATGACTAGGCACATACCTTTAAGTCATGTTTTTGTGTATACCTTTAACTTGTGTCTTTTTGTATACCTTGAAGTTATGTCTTAACAAATCTTCTTTTTATCATGTTTTTATTTGTGTTAAGTTTAATATCCATCCCAATAAGATGAATTCATTCCAAAAAGCATAGACATGTTACGTAGTAAGATTAGATATTGACATTCAACATAAATGCAATACAATATACCTCACTTAGGATGTGGTAGTGGTGATCCTAATCTTTCATACTCGTAACTAACTCCTTACCTAGATTTATATATAAATCAATCATTCAAGTTTTTAGTTTTTAGTTTTTTTAATACTATATGACGACTCATTTTTCTTAATTCCTTATCTTTCTTAAAGAGTAATTTGTTCAGATCGCCAATGTCGCACCCCTTACAACTAGAAGTTACAAAGACAAATGGCTGAATTGATGGAGAAAAAGTTAATGAAGAGGAATATGATTCCTTTTATAGTTCCAGTATTATTTATGCCAGTGAAGGGTGAGATATAGATGATGTGCATTAATGGTAAAGCAATTAACAAGCTCATAATCAAGTATTGGTTCCTAATTTTGTGACTTAATGATTTTCTTAATTAATTAAATAGTTTTAAAATCTTCTTAAATATTGACTTAAGGAGTAGATATCATCATATTAGAATGAGGTCGGATGATGAGTGGAAGATTGTTTTTAAGCCTCGAGATGGTCTCTACCAGGTGGATAGTCATGTCGTTTAGATTGTCTAATGCACCTAGCATCATACTTCTAAATAACAGTTGTTATATAATATAATGACTATTATTTAACAAATTTAGGCATGTTTATTATTGTTATATGCCATTATAAGGAGCATAATGCTATTTCATATAAATAATAGTGTTATATGACGTTATCATTATTTAATGCCATTATTTAGTCATTATTTTAAATTTTTTATTTTATTATTAGTTATATGATATTAAAATATTAGAGATGTTATTATTATGCTTAATTAGTAACATTGGTAAAAATATGTGAATTATAATAGATTTATTAATAGCTACTAGTAATGCGTTCACGACATCTATTTTGCAATCATTATTTTACTATCACGACCTATAATCACGATCGCAACTATTTTTATAATTGCATTCGCGATTTAAAACCATGCTTATCACATTTATGAGGTTGATGAACTAGGTGTTTTAGCCATCATTGGTAAGTTTATTATCGTGTATTTTGATAATATTCTAGTTTATAACCAAAGTTTGATAAGCACCACTGAGCAAGTTTTAAAGGTGTTAAATGAGCGAGAAATTGTATGCTAACTTAAAAAAAATGTAGCTTTTATACTAAGAAGGTAATCTTTTGTATTATGTTATTTTAGTGAAAGAATTGACATGGATGAAGGCAAGATTAAAGCTAAAAAGAATACATACCATAATTCTCCTATATATTATCAAAATCATCATCATCCTTATACAAAACACTTCAAACCCAACAAATTGGCTTTGCAAAGTAGAAACCAATTCATACCTTTGGATAAGTGCATTAGTCGCCCCATTCAAGACCCCATACTTATGTTTCATAACATAGTTCAAAAGTGATAGAAACTCATTATATGCTACATGTCATTCCTTTCACCTACTTTAACCATGTAGGTGTTTAAGAGCTTCATGATTTAATAATAAAACAAACTTATTGGCCGATAAGTAACAAAACCAATAATTCTTTTTTAACAATATACGGGATGAAGATAAGAATTGGGCTTCGATTTAGTTGACATGGTAGTATAGCCTAAAAATCTTAACTAGAGTGAAATTCATAATCATTTAGACCAAGGAATTTCTTTTTCTAATAATTTATATATGCAATCTACGCTATCTAGTTTGATTTAGATCACCTAGTTCAAGGTTTGATTGTTACAATGAATATATGTTTCTTTAGAATTTTATATTTAATTTAGATTGGGCAATTAGTCCTTATTAAGTTTAGATTGAATTAAAGTTTCTTAGTAGGTTTAGACTAAAGTTTTTATAGTCTATGTTTGACAAGTTTTTCCTTAGCCTCAACCAAATCTAACAAGGATTCTTTGATCCTTGATGGTAGAACATACTCGTTACAAATATGGCCATTTATCTGATAGAGAAACACATCTTTGATATTGATTAATAAACTCTAGAGAAGTTTCTCTCAAACTTGCAAATCCTTGTGATTGCTTAAGGTTTGAGTTCTATATCCTTAAACTTGATCAATCAAAATGGTATAATCGTTCAACCAATTTAACCAAGTATGTAATTGGGTTTTAATCTTACCAAAATCATCTTATATTAAATCACTTAGGTAGATTGTAATAGTATTCAAATTAATCTTGCCAAAATCAATCACAAACTAAAGTTGCCATTAAGCTCAAAGTTTCAAGCTAAGTACAAACTTGGGTTGGAATTTTTGTTTCATCTACTTTTGTTCAAAGGAGGTTTTGGCTTCTTTAGTTATTTGAAGGACTTGAATTCGGAAACAATTAAAAATTAACTTGGAGTATTCAACTTGATTCAATTCTTCATTAAAAAAAAAAAGATGGTTTTAATTTAGTATTAGAGTTTAAGTAGTTTCCTTGCATGTTTTTACTAGTTTTGTGATATGCCACAAAAAAATAATAATAAAAAAAATAACAACACCGAATTACTATGACAAACTCTAAGAAGAGAATGCACGTTTCCTTAAGAGATTGCAAGTGTATGAAATGAGGGATAACAAAATGAATGGCCACGAGACAAAAGGTAACAAAAAAGAGGTCTAAGAGAAAAATCTTTTTCAAACTTTATAAATCATTTAGTTTGTTCAACATCTAGGCCATGTGATTAGAAGGCCACAGCTCCAACACCATAACTTTACATTTAAAGTTCACATACTTAACTATGAAAAAAGGCTCAGTCTTGACAATTTCATCGAATTGATGAATGTTGTTGAGAGGACTTTTGATTTCAATGATGTTTTTCATGAGAAGAAGGTTAAACTTATGGACATTAAATTGATTAAAAAAAAAAAAAACTTTTAAGTGGTGGAAAAACTTAAAAAAGACAAAAGAATTAAGAAAACAATTTCAAAATCACTGCTTGAATCTTGAAAAAAGACGATGAAAACTCTAGATGGTAAGCATCTTTCAGGCTTCTATAAACTAGTAGTTGTCAAATCAAGTCTGTCCTAGCAAGAATCTGAAGACCTAGGGCCTAATTGGAATTGAGTTGACTATATTCATGAAATGACATGTCAACAATATATTATATAATAAATAAGCTACACTTGGAAAAACCTATAAAAAAATTGACTAGCTGACGTAGATCTTTTGTGGAGCCTAATAAGATCTAACAAGTATAACAACAGTAGTAGTAGTAGTCAAACCGAAGCACAATAAGGCAAATACCAAACCAGCCTCTAATCTTATATATGCTAGGAAAGTATTAATAAAATACCGTTAATTAAAATTATATCAAAAAAATTATCCTTAATTAAATTTTATTTTCTAAAAAATTATTCAAATACAATTATAAAAATAAATATATATTTTAAGAAAGTATCAATACGATATAATATAACAATTAATAATATGCTTAATTTATATGAAAAAAATATATATATATATATATATTTACAGTAAAAAAGAATTATCGTATTGTAAAAGATAGAATAGACATTTTTCCATTATAAGATCTCCTACAAAAACAACCAAAAGCTTTTCCTTCTGCTTTGTAATTATGATGCAAATAGATAGATCTCGCCACCGATCCTGGCCCGTACAATTCCGGACGTGTTTTCCCGTGAATCTTCGCCGGTGACATTCTCCACATCCACAGATCGTATGGTCCTCTCAGAACTCCACGATTTCATTTAGTTTCTTTGGTTTTGAATTACCTGTCGTCCAAAGTCCAAAGAGATATATGTATATTTTTTTTTTGGAAAAAAATTCTGAAAAAGTGGTTATGGTTGCGTTTGGCTTTGTTTCATTCTCTCCTACCGCTGACAATATAATGATGATTATACTTATGCAGATAATTTTTGAAGTGGGGCAATTTCATTTTTCAGGAGCGATTGTAACAGAAGCAGCTATAACTTCAAATGGTATGCTTTTTCTCGATTAATAATGTACTTTAACGGTTTACTGATTTCTTCTGATTCATTAAACTATGAAATTTCATGCTCTTCATGTTCACTGCTAGCACATTTTGAATTTTGTACTTTTACATCGTGGCCTTTTTTAACATCAATTACTTTATGTTTATGGCCAAAAGTGAATTATTGTTACTTTTCTAAAGTGGTTCTTATAGTTAATTAGTGATTTATTGTCGGTTTAAGTGTTTGGAGTTTTACTGTGGAAAACAGTAGTATAGGACCAAAGACATGGAAAGAGAATGTAAGGAAATTACAATGAACTTGCTTTCCTTTTTTTCCGTGCATGTGAAGGGTATGCTTTTATGAATTGACACTTACAGAGAGAAGCAATTTTACCATTGGATTATAGGGAGAGAGATGCTATCAGTTTTTTTCCTTCTTCTCATTGGTACCTACTCGGCAAGGAGATATTTTAATTATTCTATCTTAGGTTAGTGACATGGTATGGACTCATTTCTTAGTGATTGATGTGACAGTCTTTCCAGAATCAAGGTCTTTGGATGGCAAAAGGTGCTGGGTGTATAAATGATGGTGATATTAATTATGATAATTCTCCTTCTAGAATTGAGTCAAAGTCTTCGTCAAAGTCTTCTCACCAGTGGTTGATGGATGGTACTGAGGCAGAGCTATTTCCCAATAAGAAACAGGCAATCGGAGTTCCAACCAACAATTTATTTACATGAATGCTAAACACAAATGTTTCCCCATGGGGCAATGCTTCTAGTTTTCAGTCGGTCTCTGGTGATTTCACCGAACGGTTTTCAGATTCTGAGACAAACAGGACTGTCAATTTTGATAACAGAAGCATTACATCAGTTAGCTCAGGAAAATTTAGCAGCATAGGGAGGAATTTAGATGAGCATCTATTTGGTAATGATTCCTCATTTAGTTTATCTATGCATCATATACTGGAAGATCCGAGAACAGGTTTAAACTATGGTGGGATTAGAAAAGTGAAAGTTAGCCAGGTCAGGGAATCTGAGAATGTCATGCCTGCATCAATGGAACATGCCTTAAGTAGGGTGGATAATAATACCATGTCAATTGCTCATTCTCATGACAAAGATGAAAATATCATATCAATGGGTCTTGCTTATAACAAAAGGGATGGAAATGTCATGCCAATGGGTACTTATGACAGGGAGAACAACAGTTTTATTTCAATGCTAAAAGCCTATAACAACGGTGATGACTACATATCAATGAGTCAAACATACAAAGAAAATGACAATGCCACACCAATGGACCACACATTTAGCAACTGTGAGAACAATACCATACGCATGGGTCAAACCTACAGCAAGGTAGATGAAAATGCCATCTCAATAGGGCACATTTACAATAAAGGGAATGGCGGTATGGTACCAGTGGATCAAACCTATGACAAAGATGATAATAGTAATATGTCAATTGGCCAGTCTTATAATAAAGGAGAGAGTACTATCATATCGTTTGGGGGCTATGATGATGATGGCACAAATTGCTCGGGGAAGCTTACATCAAGATATGAACTGTTGATGGCTCAATCTTCTTTTCAAAGATCGGAAGTGGGAAATGATAATGAATTGGTCAAATCAAATGGGATTGCACTTGTATCTGCTGCTCATGTAGCTGCCTCAGGGACTGATAATGCTTCTAAGAAGAAAGTTGACATAAAAACTGCTAAGAAGGTTCTCCCAGACAACTTCCCTTCAAATGTTAGAAGCTTACTGTCCACTGGTATGCTAGATGGAGTTCCGGTAAAATATATGGCCTGGTCACTGGAGGTAAAAATTAATTCTATGTACTCTATTTTCAGTTTGTTTTAGCCCTTGATGATGAATTAACATATTTTTGGGTCGCCATATCCATGTTAGAAGGAGCTCCATGGTGTTATAAAAGGTTCTGGATGCTTGTGTGGCTGTCAGACATGCAATTTCTCTAAGGTGAGCTTGTTCAGTATGATCTTTTTATCAAGGGAAAGTTTTGAATGTGTATGTGTTTATGCATGTTATATTTTAGTGAAGAAATTTTAAGTGGAGTATGCAGAGTTTGTGATGCTGGACAGCTTTGGTTACTGTTCTGCATCTGATTTTTAGGAGTTGTTTAGTGCTGTAAATAGTGATGTGAATAATTTTAGGGTTTGGGTAGATCTTGTGACGGTTAATAGCTATAGGATTGATGGGGCTCGAACCAATTAAAGTCATTCATCTAGAGTATAGAAACACCTAGCGTTCTTAGGAGCCATACCTAAGGAAAGCGATGCAGGACAACATAGGGGGCTGTTCTGGATCTGAGTTTCGATGCTGTTTAGGGCTGCTTAGCTCTGTATTAATGTGGATTTCTGCTGGGAGTAACAAAATCAAAAGACAATTGCTGAAATTATTTGATATTATTACATACTAATTACTAAAAGACTACGTATTGTATTTATAAAGTTGTAAAAGTTCAAATCCAATTAAAACAAAGACTCCTGAACCTTTAACATAACTATTCCTAATTAGAATAAGAAAAACCTATAATTATTTCTATTTTAGAATAAGAAAATTTAGTAACTTTAGGACTAATAAAATACTTAAACAGAAATACTAATAATTTCAGATTTCCCTGCATATCTGAAATTACTAAAATACCCTTATCAATTATTTAAGTTCCCAACTGAGTTTTCCATTATTAGCCGTGTGCCAAATCAGTGCTTGAGCATTGGAGTTATTCTTAGAATGTCTTCTAAAGACATTTAAGGGCTGCCGCCAACATGCCCCATCAGAAAGATTTGAGTTATGCAATCGAAAGCAAAGTTTTTGGAATTTGTTGACAAACTGATTCTCTCCATATTCAAGGATTACATGACCTTTATTTATATAGAGTTCTTGAGTTAATTATAACTTATACCCTACAATTTAGCAAAATGAATTAATTAGTCATCATGGTTTGAGAAACTATATATTTAATCCCTTAAATCCATTTATAACTTAATCTTTTGTTCATTTAGTGTTCTTTTGCAACTTTCTTGTTATGAGAAATAGAAAAAGAGAGAGAAAAAAAAAAAAGATGGAAAGATTGATGAAAAAATGAAGCATTTTTTGAACAAAAAAAAATCTAAATTAAGCATGGTCCACTGTGGTCAAGGGATTATTTAATTATTTTTGATACTGTAGTGATTAATTAATTTATTTTGATAAAATTCAGGGACTAAGCTTCAATTAATTCTAGAAGTTGTAGGACTTGTCTTCCTATATAAGAAAATACGAAGTCCTATTTTTATATTGGAAAAACCTAATAAAGCTAATTACCTAGAACTAATAAAATACTAAATAAAAAATAAAACTTAGATTTAGACAATTTTTTAGATTTTACAAAAATCTGAAAATTACAGAAATACCCTTGTCTACAAAAAGACATTAATTATGCTTCTTTTGTTGTCTGCATAAGTTTGTACCTAAAAAGGTTAATTACTGTTTTGTAGGTTGTTAATGCTTATGAATTTGAGCGGCATGCTAATTGCAAAACTAAACACCCAAATAATCACATATATTTTGAGAATGGAAGGACTATATATGGCATTGTTCAAGAGCTAAGAAGTACGCCTCAAAATATACTGTTTGAAGTTATTCAGATGATAACTGGTTCACCTATCAACCAGAAGTCTTTTCGTCTTTGGAAAGGTGATCAAAACTATCTAGTTTACTTTTATTGCTGTGGGCATTTTATTGATAGTCTCTCTCTCTCTCTCTCTTCCCGTAAAGCAGATTTGTGTTATAATTATTTAGTCCTTATTCATTGTCATCCTTCTCACATGCTTTCTCATTCCTCCGTTTCAGAATCCTTTTTAGCTGCAACTCGTGAACTTCAACGAATATACGGAAAGGATGAAGGGCACCCATTATAATAAATCAGCATTCTTTAAATTATAAGGTAGGATCTCTTATGTTCTGTACGTAGGTCTGATCTTTTTGGTCATTTCTTGTATCGCTAGTGGTTAGTGCAACTATATTTTCCAGCATTGTTTCCGAATTTCGAGAACTAGGGATCTTGGTGGAATGGCCAACCTTACCCCAAATTGGGTGTTTTTAATCTGGTTGCTGGATGCATGAGTGTAGCACATAGCCCATCCCTTGAAGGGGATGAAATCTAAAGTATATGCAACTTAACAAAAGGGAGCTTTTTATGATATTTTGCTATGGATTGCTGTCGTCATTATTATTTATTGCCATTGCCCGTCCTAAAATTTTTTCCACAGAGATCTTTTCAAACAGCTATGTCCTTATGGATTGCTCTACCCTAGTCCAACCCCACTAGTAGTTGCTAATTAGCTTCAATTTTAACACGAATATTGGTCAAGCAAAAGTCAGCACCAACAGTATTATGAATAATTATTGGAGTACTAATATGTTATAATCATTCTTCTCTCTAAAACTTTAAATTGCAACTTCACCATGTTATAAAAATAGCATGCTAGCATTTCTAATACATATGGCCACTGTATTTACCCTGTGTGTGATTAGAAATTCTTTTTGTATCAAAACGTGCTAGAATTTGAGATGATTTTTCTTGGATATAGTGGTACAGGTTTTCATTTTTTCAACTCTAACTCTTGTTTTGAAATTTGTTTTTTGGAATACTTGGTATGCAGGTCATGGAACACTGAAGAAATTCTTGCTTCATAAATTTTGGGATTTTAAAATTAATAAATTGCTTATAAAATAATGAATGATGAGAAAAGGAAAGGCTACAAGCGTTAAATAATTAGAGTTTTTAGAGATAATTCGTAGGAAGATGAATGCAATCAAAATCTATCAAGCTTTAAAGCTTTTGAATTCTCAAAAATTATGTGGATTCATACTGCTAGATTTCATAATTCTTTGTAGATAACCATAGAACTCTTAGTCTTTATTTAGCTTGGACATTAAACTAAATAGGAAAAGACAAAATTTCCTATATTGGCTAGGAAAAAGAAAAAGTAAACGAGAAACTTTGAAAGAGGCTAAACTAGCTGCTATATTGACGTAGTGTGAGAAGAGGAAAACAGTAGAAAGCAGAAATTACAGCAGAATAATGGCTAAAATTAGGATTAAATTGAAGTTGAAACAAAATAATAGGGTGTAGGGCTTATAAAGAAACCTCTCAAGTGTGAATGTATTGATAAATAACAAAGAACAACTACAAAATAACCCTAATAGCCTATTTATATTAGTTAAAGCCCTCGATCCTTGTAGGAAAAGGATCCCTAGTTTTAGTCTCCAAGTAACTCTAAACAAATATATAATAAAATAATATAAATTCTAAACGAAGCTCTGGCATCATTCTCCTTAGTTTGGAAGAAACTCGTCCTCGAGTTGAAATTATTCTTGCCTCGATCTTATAGATGTCCAATCAAGACTCCCCAATCCCTTTTCTTTCTTTGCTATAGGTGTATAACAATTCTAAATATTAGATTCAGTTCCTCTATGTTAAAATTTTGCATAAGAAACATCAATAGGCAACTTATTTCTCTTCTATTGACTTTGGGAGTAATGAATTGCTAAACTTAACCTTGTTTCATGACACGTGTTGTATCCAAATAACCTTTGCACAATTCTTTTACCTTTGGGATCATATAACGCTTGCAATTAAAAGGATTAACAGTGTAAATCAACAAATTTTTTTAGTCGACCAACTCCCATGATTTCCTTGCACTCAACTTCTACCTTTTTAATGAGGTCACCATTGATGACATCATTGCTGCCATTACTGTCATTGTAGATGATATTATTATCACCATAATCGTTATTGTAATAAACATGATTGATTGGTGGAGAATCCCAATCCACATCTACTTCTTTCTCCACAAATTATTCATGTTTTTGTACTTGCAGCTCTTCAGCTCTCTTTCTAATGCGTAGGCAAAAGACTATGATTTCTGTGTTTTATTTGAATTTTAGAATGCAAGGGTATTTTAATAATTTTCAGGTTTGCTGGAAAATCTGGAAATTGTTTAGGTCTAGTCTTTATTTCTGTTTAGTATTTTATTTTCTTAATCCTAAAGTTATCAGGATTTCTTATTCTAAAATAGGAATAGTTATGTTGGAGGTTTAGACGTCTTTTATCCTAGTAGGATTTGGACTTCTACAATTCTATAGAATGTAGTCTTTCAATATTTTGAATGCAATAATATCAAATAACTTCTATCAATTTGCTTTTGATTGTGTGACTCAATCCCCTCTTAGGTGTCTCTTAGATTTATTTATATATTTCCTTATATTCTAGTAAAAACCTACTTGACAGTCTCCAAAGATCTGATTTAGAATACCCCCTTGGTTAAAGGATTGAAACTCCAACACTATCTTGAGGATCTCTTTGCCCCTCTACCAATTTGAGGTAGTGTGGGAAGAGGAAAACAATAGACAGCAGAAATTACAGCAGAATAAATGGCTAAAATTAGGATAAATTGGAGTTGGAACAAAATAATAGGGTTTAGGGCTCATAAAAAAACCTCTAAAATCTTATTATATTGATAAAATAACAAAGAACTATAAAATAACCCCAGCAGCCTTTTATAATAATTATAGCTCTAGACCCTTGTAGGAAAAGATGCCTAGTTTTATTCTTCAAGTAAAACTACATAGCCTCTAAGGGCATACTTTATAAAGTCACATGCTAATCACAGGACTATAGATTAATTAAGTGACCCTAATATCATAAACATAATAAAATAAATTCAAAAGAAAACTCCTGAATCATATACTAAATAATGAAACATCAAATATAACACCTAACAAAACTGCAAAATATTATTTATAAGGTCCCATATAAGCCATTTAGCAAATCTAAGACAGTTTTTCTTCCAGTCATACTTAAATATGATTATTGTTGTTTGTTCTTCACATTTGGAGCCCTGATGTACCAAACCACACACTTTGACTTATTCACAACAGAATTATTCATTATCTTGACGTTTTCATGGGATGCTTCTTCCCTGTAACCTCACGAACAAATTTTTTTTTTCCATTGCTTTAAACAACTGTTGTTTGTTATATTGGTATTGTATGCTCGTCAACCGGTGGGGATGGAGACTTGTAGTCCTTGCTTTTACCCCATGCTACAAGATATAGGCCTGCAACTATGATAATGGCACCGATTATCCTGTAATATTTAAGATTTTTTAAGTTCTTCATGATCAATAAAAGTACACATGAAATCATGCACATGCTAGTAATGAGAGCACTATATACATACCTTCCCAAGTACATTTGCTCAGCCAAAATGATGGAGCTCATGACAACAACAATAACCATGCACAAGGGATTGAAAGCTGTTACGAAAACGGGGCCTCGATCTTTCATTGCTACTCCTTGAATGTAATAAGCTAGTCCTGACCAGAACATTCCCTGCATGCAGTGCATTTCACAAAGTAAGGTGTTGGCGCATTTATATATTTCTGCACTTCATGATCACTTTCTTTGTTATGTATGATTTGTTAGAAGTGATATGCCATTTACAACAGAGGTAAGCTCTAGTATTTTTTGAACAGGTGAGTAATGATTGTTTCTTTCTTTTTTTCTTTTTTTCTTTTTTTTCAATTATGAAGGTATGTAGTCAGCCACTACTGTGGTTCTAGAATAAATGGCTTGAGTATTCATTTCCTATATAGTCTGATGAGAGTAATTGCTTTTGGACAGATCAAAATGCAGGCTGTATTATTATTTTAGTTATTTGACTAGCTCAATACCCACGTGTTGCTACAGGTAAGTTTATCATATCCATGTTTTAATATTTTAAATAATTTAAAAATATAAATTTAAAAAAAAATTAATTAATACTCATTGTAAAAAATTTTGTTTAATTTAATATATATATAATTGAATTTAAAAATATTTCTTAGGAATTGTTTTTTATTTTGATAGATAAAAAATATATGCAATTAATTATTTATTTTTAAAAAATCCAATTAGAATGAGGTGTTTAATCAATTTATATTAGAAGAATATTTAATTTTAGTTCATGAATATTTATAAAAATAGAAAAAGTAACAATTGATGATGGAAAAAAAATTATTTTGATTAAATAATAATTAATGAAAAAAACCTAGTCAGAAAAAAAAATGATGGGGACCTTTTAATAATATTAATTAAAATTAGGAACTGTTTTATATAAAGTAATAACTTAGAAGATCAAAATATAAAATATTGATAAATTGATAAAAAAATCATTTATTCTTTTTTGGGAAAACGGTGTACTGGGGTGTAGTGTTGAGTATCAAGAACTCAAAACGATGTCGTTGTGGTTTCATTGCGTAGCAGGATATAGCTACAGTAGGATATGTAATGGTATTCTTACACTGTATACGGCTGCAAGTAATTTCATATCCTAGTTTAGAGCCCAGACTGAAGGTTTTCCCCTTTCTGCTACCAGTGCCACTATGGTGCCCTCGATTGTGCCAAACAGGCAAATACAAGCCGTTAGAGAGAGTTCAACAAGATAGGATTTCAGTGTGACGGCCTAGAGAAAGGAAGCAGAGGTTAAAATGGTCGAGGAGATCCATCAACAGATTGTGTTTTATACAAGGCATGACGGTAACTTACCTGCAGAATCATAAAACAGGCCCAGCTTAAGCACCCAATGGTGATCATAACTGCACCCTTGATTGAGTTATGGAGATCAACCCCACTAGTTCCGTTTTCATGATAAGCTCTTCCTTTTATCCAAAAGAACTCAAGCAACGGACCTTTCATTAGTGTCATGACCATTGCTCCTGCGACTGTTGCTATGGTCCCAGCCACCTTAGCTTGGCTGTGGAGAGATCTGATTTTCACATTCTCAAGCCTAGGCAAGAAGATGCAGTACTTAGATGCAACAAGAACATCAACAGTGTTTTCAAGTAACACTATTACGTGTTTTACAGTTTATCTAAATTTTATCTTTTAGTAGATCATTAATAATGCAGCTGCATTGTATCTATGATATGTCATTGTTACCTAGCGATCCAAGCTATTATAAAGGTGATGGTGGGAAGAACATTGACTATAGCATCAGCAAATGTTGCTGTTGTGTACTTCATCCCTAGAAAATACAAGTTTTGGTCGATAACAGGCCTGCCCAGGTAGAGATTTTTATATATTCAAGGTTTATCAAAAAGAATAAAAAAGAAAGATTGGATTTGTTATCTGAAAATTACTCCAATAAGCCGAGCAACGTTATCTTGATGAAGGTGGAGCGAGTCATCTTTGGCCTGGCTTTCCTGTATAAAAAAGAAAGAGAAATTAAGGCAATACCTCGATTCCTGTTTGTTCAGTTTCAGATGTGTGTGTGAGAGAGAGAGAGAGACTTGTCTAGAATTGCTACGAAAGGGGCAATGACAATAGTGGCAACGACAATAGTGGCAACGATATGGCGGTATGCCACAAGCACATAATTGCTCATCCCTTGATTCAGTGCAGCCTTGGACAGAATATCCATCCCTGCAAGCCCAACTTGCGAGAATATAACAGCAATGAAGGGCTTTGCACTATCAAAGCTATTCATATCAACCAGACAGTTTAGACCAGTCAAGAACCTGATAGAGTAAAAAAAACTTGAGCAGTCACTAACGTCTCACGAGAATATACGATAGCAGCTATGGTTCTGTTATATAAGGCGAGTGACGATCCAAGGAAATACCACGTGGCATTTTTCAAATTCTAGCCTCCACTAACCTATCAGAATTCCATTACTACTTAAAAAGGCCTTTGAGCAGACCCAATCAGAATCGATCACTACCCAACCGCTGGGGTCCCACTGCCACGTCAGTGCGCCCATTTAACTCTTTGATACCTTTGCACGGCCGTGCTTCCCTTTTTTCGGTGTTGTTGCTTTCTAATTATTTATGAGCGTTCCTTGATTGATGTTGTACCGTAGAAATATGAAATATATATATATTTTAATATTTATGATATGTTTTCTTAAAAGCGTATAAAAAAATATATAAAATATGCTTTTGATAACAATTTTAGCACGCGAGTCATTTTCTCATCAAAGATTTCGAGTTTATCCGACATGGCAAGACAAGTCGGAGGATATCTTGGATGAAAATCCACGTAGGATGACACGTGGATTGAAATATAATTCACCTATGATGGATAACATGTCGCTCGCTCACTTATTAAAAATCAATTTCTAAAACTAACCAACCTAATTCAATTGAAATCTTAAAAAGCCAAATCCCTAATTTCTTCTTTTCTCTTCTCTCGCTTGATCAACAAATAAGCTAGCCTAAATCCATAATCTTTTTTTCTTATTTATTTGACAAACAAGAACTCCAATCTTCTTTTCATTTTTGTGCATGACGACAAGAACCTCAATCTTCTTTTCTTTTTTGCCCGACAAACAAGAACTCCAATCTTCTTCTTTTTTTGTGAACGACGAATAAGAACCAAAACTCACACTTATATTTGCATACCTTTCAAAAAACCCATGAATATTCAACTATAAGATTCCTTCTTTCTTTATCTCTACTTGTTTTCTTCTATTTTTGGTGGGTTTTCTCATTTATGTTGTTTTGATGATTCTAGGTTTTGGTCCCTCCTTTACTCATATAAATTCTTCAACCGTATTATGATGGATCAACTACATTATGATGAATTAAAACCCATACCTACATTACCCACACCTAAACTAGCATAATTATTTTTTATTATAACCCATACTTGTATTTATAGAATTTATTATAATTTGTTTATTCTTTTAGTGTTTTTGTCCACATGATGACTAAGACATTCAAGTTGAATTTTCATATTAACGGGGTATTTAACAAGTCTGAATCCAATTAATTATGTTGACAAGGTTAGAATTGGATCATGTAAGTGGTTATAAAATCCCGATTACATGACATTAAAAGACCTTCATGATGTTGTTATGGAATGTGGATATAAGACACCTAAAGTTATAGTATTTAAACAACCTAAGTTAAGTCTAAGTGAGGGAGGGTTAATTATAGATGAGGGTAAGGTTTTTATGAAGATGTTAAGTATTGTATACGAACATAGGTTTACGGATGTGCATGTTGTGATAGAAGAGTAAGTGAAAGGTGATGGTAGTTTGGGTGAAAATATAGCTGCTACTATTGATGAAGGTGATGATGAGAATGAACAGAATGTAGGTGATGATCATGAATAGAACGTTGATGATGATAACAATGAAAAGAATGTAGGAGATATAGGTGTTATTGATAATAAAGAGAATCACAATAATGATGATGATGATGATTACTTACCAATTGAGGACTATAGAGTGATAGTAGTCTTAGCGATGATGATTTTGAAAGTTTTGTGGATGAAAAACTAATCGAGGCTAGAAAGTAAAGGAGGAGCATAAGGAGGAAGTGTGGTTCGGTCTGCAGTTTAGACATGAATGTGTGGTTTCAACCTATTAGTTAGAAGAAATAATGAATCGAGTAGGGTCCAATATATCTCAACCTATTGAAAGAGGCTACACAAGTGAATACAATAATAGAGAGGATGAGCATATTACCTTTTTTGAAAGTGATAAAGATGATGTATTTTCCTATAAGAGAAGGAAAAAAGAAACAAAGAAAGATTGTTTATGATCTCACATGCAACCACAAGGATTTGGTATTCAAGGATGGAATGAAATTTACGAGATGAAAAATAATTTAAACGAGTCATGTGCAGTTATATGGTATTGAAAATGAAAGAGATTTGACTTGGGTAAGGAGTTCAAAGAGAGTTATGGAATCTAACCGTGTACAAGGTTGCGGATGGAGAGTGTATGCAAGTAAAAAGTAGTTAGAGCACATTTTTAAAGTGAAGTGTGTTGATACCGACCATAAATATAAAAGATCATTAACAAATAGGTTAGCTTCTCGTTTATGGCTAGTTGAAACATATATATATATAAGCTTCGAAATTATCCTAATTGGCTCGTAAAGGATCCGCATAATGCTATTAATAAGAGGTATGCATTAAATATCAATATTCAAATGTGTTACATGAATGTAGAAGATCATTAACAAATAGGTTAGCTTCTCGTTTATGGCTAGCTGAAACATATATCCATAAGCTTTGGAATAATCCTAATTGGCTCGTAAAGGAATTGCAAGATGCTATTAATGAGAGGTATGCATTAACTATCAATATTCGGATGTGTTATAAGGCTGGAAATTTGGCTTAAGAGATGTTAAGAGAGTCTCTCAATAAGCACTATGCGATATTAAGATCGTATATTCTTGAGTTGAAGAGGGCAAATAGGGTAGGAGCATTCTATTTTGAACCTATGAAGTGTGATCATTTTCGGTTTAGAAGATTCTATGTTAGATTTTCAACATTAAGAAATGGTTTTTTGGGTAACTGTAGGAGAGTGTTTGGTCTTAATGATACTTTTTTGAAAACACTTTTGAAAGGTTGTTTATTAACTATAATAGGGAGGGATGCCAATAAGAAAATGTTTCCCATAGCATGGGCTATTGTGCATAGTGAGAATGAAGAGAATTGGAGTTGGTTTATGGATTTTCTCACAAAGTATCTTGGCATCATTGATGAAAATTCTTGGACGATAATAAGTGACCAACAAAAGGCAAGTTCGGATATTATCTCTATTTAATTATACTTATTTATATTTATAAGTTTAAAATTATTTACCTTTTTTATTAGCTAAATGATTTTTTACTTATGATTATAAGGACTACGTAATGTTGTCAATGAATACATGCCAAATTTGTAAATATAGAAAATATGCATAACATATTTATGCAAATTGAAAAAAAAAACATAATAGTGAGTTGTACAAGAAATTATATTAGATGGTAATGAATGCTACTAATTTGGTAGATTACAATGTTGGATTAGAAGAATTGAAAGTGGTGGATGCGGCGACCTTTGATGACTTATAAAGATTGGGCCACCAAAATTTTACAAGACTTTCTTTAGGACTAATTTGAAGTATGATGCATCTACAAATAATATGTCAAAAGCATTTAATGAAACTATATACAAGACTAGAACAAAGCTATTGATCGATATGCTGAAAGATATTACAACCTATGTGATGGAGAGTATGTACATCAAGAGTAAAATGTTTGAGTCAATCAATGATGAAATCGATCAAGAATAAGATGCAAAGCTGAAAAAATTAAACTAGAAGCATATGCATCTAGGATAATACTTGTAGTTTGTGACGGATGTTCAATCAAGATTTGGTGAGGATACATATATTATGAATTTAAAGGAACACAAATGCAACTTGTAAGGAATGTGATGTTAGTGGTATTTTAACCAAGCACGCGAGTAGTAAGCATTATATTTACGAGGGGTGATCCTACAGATTGTATTGATCTTTGTTTTAAGAAGCGAGAGATGGTCTTAAACCTTTGAATGACTTCAAAATATGGCCTAGGAGTGAAGGTCGTGATATACGACCTCCTCTTTAAGAAAATGCCAAGAAGTTCAATTTATTTGGAAAAGTTATCTTACTTGTTTTTGTTATTTTTTTCCATCTTTTTTATTTTACTTTTGACAAATAAATAATTATGATAAATGATTTTCAAAATGAAAGGTCGAAGCAAAAGATCAAGGTAGGAGTTCAAATGCAATGTCAAAATTGTTATGCTTATGGCCATAACAAGAGAACTCGTAAAAGTATGGACCAAGATAATGCAAACCCTACTAAAATCCATGTAAGTGAACAAACTTCATATGTTAACATTATACTATTGGTTTATTTGACTTATTATACACGTAGTATATTTAGAGCAAAAGAGGAAGACCTATAAAGAGTTCAAAAATAGTCTAGCTTTCAAACTAACGAACTTACCGAGTAAGTATAATTTAATATTGATAATTCTATTTTCAATTTAATTTCTCATAATATAAAATTAAAAATAATTACTATTATAGGCTAAAAGAGAAAGACCTCCAAAGCAAACTACTATAATCTTATTCACTTTTAATTCTAGATAAGCATCCACATTTAGATCGATTGTCCCATTCGGACTTGCTCGAAATTCCAAATCTACAATCCTATTCAGACCTCTCGCCTTCTTTGACATCTACAATCTTAACCATACCTAACAAAGCACAAGCGCAAATGCAAGATACAACTACAAAGGTTAAAGAATATTGAGAGAAAAAGAACAATCAAAGGAGTTAAAGTGTACATAAGTGACAAAATTGGTAACATGTATTCAAAGGCAAGTGTTATCCATTTTTCTTTTCAACATATTTGTATAATAAGAACACAATTTCAATTTACATCCTTTTTCTATTGATGTTAGAGGTAGAGTTAAAATAATTTCTAGAACCAACCAGATTCCTCCACCAACGACCACATCAATTACAAGGGCAAAGAAGTCGAAGTTGAACTATGAAGGCTCCTCAACCACTTAGGAATATTTTGAACTACTCAATTAAATGACTTTTTTTTGGGCCACTTGTTGCACTTAACAACCTATTGTATGGTTCATTTTTTAAAAAATATTATGACTATGGAATATGACATGTGCATTTGTGATAAATAATGTATAGTGGGTTGTGCATGTATTATTTTCTTTTAAAAGATTAGAATTACGGTTCACGAAGCATGTATGATAGATTTATACATTTTATATGACATGCTTGTAAACAACTTTCCTCTATTTAATACTTACTATGTAGTTATGAGCATATAAAAATACCAAACCACGTAAACAGAGACCGAACCATGTAAACAACTTCCATCCGTGTTTTGTAATGTCGGATTCCATTAATAACCTTAACATTTTGGTTTTTTATGCTTAGCTATATGGATTTATGATCTCGAATAGATTAGTCGATATAAAATTTCATAGTATTTTTTTCTACCTTGTGTTACAAAGAACGAAAAGAATTGATACGAGTGATACCATAGTTATAGAGGTTGTCTTTTTGTGATCCTTTTAATGAAATAAGTGAGACCATAGCTATAGAACAAATATAATACATTGAGACAATAAGGCCATAGCTAATATACAATTTCATAGCACTTTTTTTTTTACCTTGTGTTATAAAGAATGAAAATAATTGATACAACGAGACCATAATTATAGAGGTTGTCTTTTGTGATCCTTTTAATGAAACAAGTCGGACCATTACTATAGAATAAATGTAATACATTACATAAGTTAATGTAATACTTTATAATAGCATAATTTAATACATTACATAAGACATTGCATAATTTAGAGAGGCAATGCTAATATATCTTTCTACTCATATGAAGATAAAAAATATCCTAATAACATAAAACCTATCAATGTTGCCAAAAAATACTACTTGGTAACAATTTTGACTTTCCCTCCTAACTCCTACATGCTAATCCTTAGTCTTTACATTTGAATTTTCATTTTAATAATTTCAAATCTTACTTTATCGAGTTCTTCAATCAAATGAATTTTAGTTTTCTTTCTTTTCTTTGCTTCAATTCTTATTAAATTTAAATTTTATGTTTCAAGTATCTCACTAACTTCATTCTTTCCTTTAACTCTTCAATCTCAATTACAATTGACTTTTCAGCTCCACACACAATGCGATTATCTTTAATCCACTTCTAAAACCAATAATTTTCAAATCCAAAGTTATAATATTTCATGAAAATAAAATATCAAATATATAGTATATGTAAAAAAGGAGAAATTTTAGTAATTTTAGTAACTAAGAATAATAAATACTTTTCAATATGGGCGATAAGCGAACTTCTTCCTTGGGTTAGTTTCATTCCGTGAAATATATAGGCTAATCTATGTCTTGTGCTCGCATAAAGGCATCTTAAAAGTTAGGGAATATATTTTTAAAGCTTCATTCATGTTGAAGCTACTACTCGTAAATGACATATTTATGGGTTTTTTAAAAGTTATGCAAATACGAGTGTGGCTAAGGCAAGTTTGGTTTTTAATCCATCATAATGCAGTTGATTCATCACAATACAGTTGATCCATCACAATGTAGTTGAAGAATTTACATGAGCAAATAAGGCACCAAAACCAAAAATTATCAAAACAAACATAAATAAGAAAACCCATAAAAAAATTGAATGAAAATAGTTATAGATAGAGAGAGAGAGAGGGAACCTTATAGTTGAAGATTCATGGTGGAATGGGTACTTGTTGAAGATTCATAGGTATTGTGAGGAGTAGAGGATGAAGGCTGCTTTGTAAATTTTAGGTTTGATGGAATTAAAAGATTGATAGATTTGATGAAGGAAAATGATTTGGTTCATGATTAGTGGACTTACGTGAATAGTTATGGGTTTTTCGAGAGATATACAAATGTAGGTGTGATTTTTAGTTCTTGTTCGTCGTTCATAAAGAAGAGAAGAAGATTGGAGTTCTTGTTTGTTAGGAAAAGAAAAGAAGAAGATTGAAGTTCTTGTTCATCCTACACAAAAAAGAGAAGAAGATTGAAGTTATTGTTCATCTGAAAAGAAGATTGCTTGGATTTTTTAAGATTTGATTTGAATTAGATTAGTTAGTTTTTAGAATTGATTTTTTATAAGTGAGCAGACGACATGTCGTCCATCATAAGTGAATTATAATTCAATCCACATGTCATCTTATATGGATTTTCATTCAAGATGTCATCTAACTTGTCTTGCCATGTCGGATGAATTCGGAATCTTAGACAAAAAAAAAAATGACTCACGTGCTAAAATTGCTATTAGAAGCATAGTTCATGTATTTTTCCATACACTTTTGAAAGAACATGTCATAAACATTAAAAGGTGTCTATTTCATGCTTTATGGTACAATAAGCCAATTATTAATTACTATTTCTATTTTTGAGAAACAAATTAATTAGTTTTTCTAGAGTTTATTCTATATTTGATCTCCGTATTGTTTGAATTTTTTTGTTTGAAACCTACTATTTTTTCGGTTTGATCGAAACTTTTTACTCTTAAAAATTTATTGATTCGGACCATCTATTGTAAATATTCATTCGACGTGATACATTAAACGTAACGTTAGTTAATCACGTATAGACACGCGGCAATATAGGCTCCAAATGTCATAGTGTACGTCTAAAAAGAGATTTAAAAGAATTTTAATATTAAAAAAACATTTAAGTTTTTTAAAACATAAGAAAAGACCGCATTACTCCAATCTATTATTCATACCATCTAACAAACAAATAACCTCTTTTTGTTGTTGTTGTTTTCCTTAAATGCATTTCTAAGGTTGAAGGCGTGATGACTTTGATCCAGAAGAAGTGGCATGTCACTCTTATCCCTTTCTCTTTCTTTTTAAAGTTCTATTGTCAATGTTATTGATGGTCGATGTTGACTTTATGATTCTTTTTTGGGTGATGAGAAATTAGAGAAAAAGTAAGGGTGTGTTTGGTTTTGGCTTTTGGGAAATGGATTTTCTTTTTCTTTTGTCTATTTTTTGACTAAAAGAATGTTTTTTTTAATCAATTGAAGTTGTTCTTGATGTGTTTGCTAACCACATTGTGATTTTATCCTTGTTGAGTTTATGTTTGATGTTCCCATGTTGGAGACGACAAAAACATTGAAGTTATTGATGGATAGAGAGTGGCATCTGTAATGGAGAGGCAAGTGATGATGAAGATACCAATGAATTTATTGGCAAAGATGGAGACACCAACACCGGTGTCGTAAGCGATAAGGGTATAAATTTTCTAGAGTTGGGGATAATGGGGTGGACGAGGTGGCAAAGACATTGGAGTTGTTAATGGCTTGGGAGTTGGTGGCATTTGTAGTAGAGAGGCAAGTAGCGACGAAAGACACTAGGGAATTTGTTAGGAAATATGGAGACACCAACACCAGTGCCACGAGCGACAAGGTTGCGAATTTCTAAGGTTAGGGATTATTGGGTGGACAAGGTGGCGGAAACATGGTGGTTTTAGGGATCTAGGAATTTGAGGATTTGGGTTCTAGCTAGAGAGGAAGAGAGAATGAGGTGAGAGCAATGTGATATTTTCTAATAATTTATAAATACTAACTATTAGTTTAATAATAAAAACTTTTTTTTTACTTTTTTTTCCTAGATAAAGACACTACTATTTGGAACCCACTATACTACGTGTCCATTCGAGATTAGTTACCGTTAATTTTAACATATCAAATCGGATAGACAATTAACGGAGGATTTGAATCAATAAATTTTTAAGAGTAAAGGGTTTTAATCAAGCTGAAAAAAATAGAGGGTCTCAATAAAAAAGAAATACGAGGGCCAAATGTTGGATAAACTCCTTTTTTTATTTCAAAAACTAATTATTTAAAAAAAATTCTATTTTATATTCTTTTTTAATTTGTTTTGTTTTTTTTTATAGAAAAATATAAAAGGAAAAAAATATTTTTATAAATATTGATGAGAAAAGAAGAAATTTTTTTGAATAAAAAATATTAAATTAAGTGTATCAATGCTAGTCAAGATATTAAATAATTAGTTTTTGAAATAAGAAGAATTAATTAATTTTTTTAAACTAGAAGGATTAATTTATAATTTACTCTTTATTGGTCTCTACTCTCTACCACTTTGTTATATGCCAAGGACCCCAGATTTTTAAGTTGTCAAAATGTGTGTACGTACATATCCTTCGTTAGTTAGCTTTTTTTTTTTTTTTTTACAATTACTTCTACCATTAAAACAATATTCTTTTTTTTTTAGGCATGATATATACATTAGAATTTTGGCTCTTATAAAAAAAAAATTTAGACACTGATAATCTTGTATTCTTGCAAAAAAATCCTTTTGATTCCAAAAAATTGTGGAAGCTATAAAGAAATAAAGGGACTTACTAATTAGTAGGAGTTGGTTCAAAAACAAAATTATTGAGATGATTTTCTTTTTCCTAATAAGTGTCTTTCCCAAAGAACGAAAAGAAATCAAAATTTACTTTTATAAGGCCACTACTACTACATTCCAATCTGTAACCACTTTTATTGCTGCCTCTTTGATCTTGATTCATGACCCAACGTGGAAGACAGTATCCTCCACAATGATTATGGAGTAGATGCCATTCAAACCTATGGTAATAGACTACTACTGCTGGCTCTAATGTATGTGAATTACAGGTGTGGATATGAATGAATGGAGCAAGAAATAATCATACGAATATAACAGTAAAAAAAAAAAAAAGGAATCGGAGCAAGAAAAGAAAAGAGCAAGAGATTCCCTCTATCTGCATGCCAGCAACTCAAAGCTCAATGATTTCATCAACGAGACATCTTATAATGCGTTTGTAAGTACCGTGGCATGTGATGTGAGTTCACTGATATATTATATACTCTCATTTTGTTTTTGGAGGTAAGTTGATCATATATCTAATAAGATATTACGGATTTTGTACCTGGAAGTAGCGAAATCACATGTTGATGAAAGGGGGCTAAAATAATTCATTAACAAAATACAGGGACCAAAATGAGTTTTTGCAAAACCTTGCATTCACCCTTGTCCTTTCCATTGTACAAAATAAAGAATAAGAATATGTACTTGCCTAGTGTAGCAAATACAAAACAAAAATATGTAATTGTCCTGTCAAGTTAAAAAAAAATATAAAAAGATTTAACTTTTTTTTCTTATTTTACTAAATGCTTTTTGTAACAAAAAATGGGAAGAAAATTAATTTTGAAAAAATATATGATTTCAATAAATGCTTTCTGTAATGAAAAATAGTGATGAATCTTTAATTTTTATCTTGAACTGTTTTTCTAATTTTCATAAATATTTTATGTTCTATATAACAAAAAAAAAAAAAAAGCAGAATCAATGAGATTAAAGAACTTATGTTGTTTTATTATGCAATTTACCTAACGTTGCCAATGATGTCATTAACAAAGGGTCTATATTAAACAATTTGATTCAATACAAAAACCTAGTTAACACTTAGATTGATAGAAGGATCCGATTAATCAATTGCTTGTAGTATAGAAACCGCACGGATCGGTAACCTAATCATAAATACTACTAATCCGTTAGGAAAATATTTCTTCTTTTTTATATGACGAGTAAAAAATATATGTTATTACTAATATATAAATTTAATTTCATCTCTAATTAAGAAAGATACTAAATATTAATACAATTCTTAAAAAAATTGGTTAATCTTGTTTTACATCATATGTCTTTTATCATCACATAAAACTTTAAATAATATAAAATAAACTTTTTAAATCACTCATAACTTAGATATTATTTTATTGATACTTCACTTTGACTATCCAAACTCTAAAAGGCTTAATAATATGTCAAAAAAGTCAATAGTTAAAATCTAAAATAGAATAAAATCGCATCAAAATTGATCAATTATTAAATTGGATCCTTAATGTGTCGATGGGGAGTAAATTATAAATTAGTCATTTTAGTTTTGAAAAAGAATTAACTAGTCCTTCTATTTAAAAAAACTAATTATTATTATTATTATTATTATTATTATTTTGATCCAGCTTAGGTTCTTTTCTAATTTGTCTTGTTTAAAAAAAAAAGTAAATAGTTATTATAGATATTTTGCCTGTTCGTGGATAAAGCAATGCCTTAGTGGACAACGATAATTATAGCCATTAATTGGTCGCTTACGTTAAACAATCTTTTGCCCATAAGTTTACATGCAAGTGCTCTAAGCTATTGGCTTGGTATGATTTCCTCCTTTGGCACGTGGGTATGGTGGGTTGAAGTTGACATCATTTTGATTAGAGAATCTTATTGCGTAGCTAGAGAAAGCCGTAATTGAGTATCCGCAAAGTGAAATTACAGGCGGGGAAATGTGGGAAGGATTACGGTTATTTATTTATTTATTATAATTATCATAAAGTCGAATCCGATTCTAATACTGGATAGTAAAAACTTTAGGTAAAGTGTGTATTTGGTAACAGGTTTATGAACAAATTTAAATACTGGTATAATAATAATACAAGTTTTATTTGCAAATTAGTAATTTGAAAAAAAATATTTTTGCAAATTAGTCATTTTTTACTCTCGCTTTTTTTTTTTTGGAGGTAAGTTGATCATATATCTAATAAGATATTATGGATTTTGTACCTGGAAGTAGTGAAATCACATGTTGATGAAGGGGGGCCAACATATTCATTAAGAAAATCTAGGGACCAAAATGAGTTTTTGCAAAACGTTGCATGCACCCTTGGCCTTTCCATTGTACAAAATAAAAGGATAAGAATATGTACTTGTCTAGGGTAGCAAATACAAAACAAAAATATGTACTTATCCTGTCAAGTTAAAAAAAAAAAAGATTTAACTTGTTTTTCTTATTTTACTAGATGCTTTTTTGTAACAAAAAATACGAAGAAAAATATTTTGGAAAAAAAATATAATTTCAATAAATGCTTTCTGTAATGAAAAATGGTGATGAATCTTTAATTTTTATTTTGAATTGTTTTGCTAATTTTCATAAATATTTCATGTTATAAAAAAAAAATCCATGAGCTCAAAGAACATATGTTGCTTTATTATGCATTTACCTAACGTTGCCAATGATGTTATTAACGGAGGGTCTACATTAAACAATTTGATGTAGTACATAGACTTAGTTAACGCTTAAATTAATAGAAGGACATAATTAATCAATTGCTTGTAGTATAGAAACTGTACAAATCATCTGATTATAAAGACTACTACTCTACCAAGAAAAAAAAATTTATATGACAATAAAAAATATATGTCATTACCGATATATAAATTTAATTTCATCTCTGATTAAGAAAGATACTAAATATTAATACAATTCTTAAAAAATTGGTTAATCTTACTTTTACATCATATGTCTTTTATCATCACATAAAACTTTAAAAATATAAAATAAACTTTTCAAATCACTTTTAACCTAGATATTATTTTTATCAATACTTTACTTGGATTATCGAAACTCTAAAAAGGCTTAATAATATGTCAAAAAAAGTCAATAGTTAAAATCTAAAATAGAATAAAATTACATCAAAATTGATCAAATTATTAAATTAGATCCTTAATGTGTGTACAGGGAGTAAATTATAAATTAGTCATTTAAGTTTTGAAAAAGAATTAACTAGTCTCTTTGTTTAAAAAAACTAATTATTTAATTTTTTTTTTTTTGTCCAACTTATGTTCTTTTCTAATTTGTCTTGTTTTAAAAAATAGAAAAAAATAAAAAATAAATGGTTATTATAGAAATATGATGAGAAAAGAAGATAATTATTTTTAAATAAAATAATATTAAATTAAGTATGGTCAACTCTAGTCAAGAGATTAAATGACTATTTACCTATATTTTATTAGAATCAACTTTTACATTTAGGGGCTTAATTTCAAACTTTTTTCTAAGTTTGAATTTAAATTGTATATAGTAAAAAACTAGAAGACCACAAATTATTAACTAAGGACTAAAATGTCATGAAAATAAAAGGTAAAAGGTAAAATATATTATTAAAAAATTTAGGGACTAAAATGAATTTTTGTAAAAATTGAAGGCTATAAAGTTAAGCATAAGCAAGCAGGAATGGGCTATCTAACTCACTCCAAAGGGCGGTAAGGGCCTTACCAACAAGTGATAAATAGAAGAGACTAGTTTTTTTGCCCGCACTACACTATAAGTTGAATAAAATATATAAAATCATTTAGAAAACTTATTTCGAGTTTGATTGTCTATTTTATGATGTGAATCTATAAAAATATATGAAATCAAAGGTGTTAAAAATTATTTAATCAAAAAGTTTGTATTTAACTATTTCTTATTTGTGTTTTTCATAATTTTTCTTTTAGAAAGAGGATTCATCCTTGTTAATCCATGGATCATTAACTAAAAAGAAAATTAAATAATTTTTTTAAAAAAAGTTTTAGTATTTCATAAGATTGTGTCGAAAAACATACATAATAATTATTAAAAGCTTACATATTATTGAAAAAATGTTTTTTAATTTAATGTTGATGAGAATATTGGTTTTTGAAAAAATGTGAACTTAATTTTTATATATTTATTTATAAAATAATGAATAATATTAAAATAAAAAACTATATTAATCATTGAATGGTTAAGCCAAAACATAATTTTAATTATTTAATTTAAAATAATTTAATTTTAAAATATTTTAAAATAAATAAATAAATAGTAAATGCTTAGTGTAGTAGTAGTTGCACGGTTGATTTCTAAAAAAAAACAACAATTCAATATTTTTTATACATCATAACTATACTAAACGAGTTTAGAGTTTTCGATCTAAAACAAAAAATACTATAAAAAGTTAACTTGTAAGAAATATATTGATTAAATTTGAAGTTAATGGACTAAAATAAAAATTATTACAAATCTAATTTCAAATAATTTTGATTATATAAAGAAGAAAAAAAATTAATAAAACATGTGAATTCGTTTTCTTTTTTTCTTTCCTCCTTCTTAAACATTTTTTTTATTTCTATGTTATGCATGACTAATCCTTGAATATAAGCCTTACACACAGAGCAACCATCTTCTTTTTATTTTTCACATTTGACTTTCAACTATTAATTATTATTTGGATTTTTTTCTTCAAAATATCGAGAAAAAATTATTTGAAATACACTTTTGACCTAAAAATATATTTTAGAAAACTTATATATATTAATCATGCCACTATAATTTAAAAGTTATCTAAATCTATTTTTCAAAAGAAAAAATAATCATGTTCTAAAAAATTATTCCAAAATCCATACATATAAAAAAATAAATCAAAACTCGTTAGTAAATATAACTTTAAATTAATTAAATGAGGATAAAAAAATGACATAAAGTAGTAAATTTAAAATAATAAAAATAATTAATAAAAAAATACTAAAACAAGATGGGATGAAATCATAATACAATCAAAGTTTGAAATTAAAAAACAAGAGAGAGAGAGAGAGAGAGAGAGAGAGAATTTTTTAAAACAAATGACAAATTAATGTAGTAAATTTTAAATAATTAAAAAATCAAGAAACAATTATTTGAAAACCACTTTTAATCTAAAAATGTATTTCATAAAAAATTATATATATTAATCATGCCACTATAATTTAAAAAGTATGTAACTCTATTTTTCAAAAACAAAATAATAATAATCATGTTCTAAAAAATTATTTCAAAATCCATACATATAGAAAAATAAATAAAAAGTGTTAGTAAATATAATTATAAATTAACTAGATGAGAATTTTAAAAAATAACAAATTAAAGTAGTAAATTTTAAATAATAAAAATAATTAACAAAAAATACTAAAATAAAATTGGACAAAATCACAATATAATCAATGTTTGAAATTGAAAAAAAGAAGAAGAAGAGAATTTTAAAAAATAATAAATCAATGTAGAAAATTTTAAATAATATAAAAAACTGAGAAAAAATATTTGAAATATACTTTTAATCTAAAAATATATTTTAGACAAATTATATAGATTAATCATGCCATTATAATTTAAAAATGATCTAAATATATTTTTCAAAAGAAAAAATAATCATGTTCTGAAAATTTATTCCCAAATCCATACATATAGAAAATAAATTAAAACTGTCAGGTAAATATAATTTTAAATTAAGTGAATGAGAATTTAAAAAAATAATAAATTAAAGTAGTAAATTTTAAAAAATAAAAATAATTAACAAAAAATACTAAAATAAAATCGGATCAAATCACAATATAATTAAAATTTTAAATTGAAAAAAAAGTAAAAATGAAAAATTAAAGTAGTACATTTTAAATAATAAAAATAATTAATAAATTAAAGTTTGAAATTGAAAAAAAAAGAAGAGAATTTAAATAATGATAAATTAAAATAATAAATTTTAAATAATAAAAATAATTAATAAAAAATACTAAAACAAAATAGGATCAAATCACAATAGAATTAAAGTTTAAAATTGATAAAAAAAAAAAAAGTTTAAAAAATTTGAGAATCAAAGTGTTAAAAAGATAATATGAACAAGTGAAAGAAATAGTGATATGTGAGTGTGTAAATAGTGATTTGTGAATGCATAAATAGTATTTCAAATAATAAAATAAATAATAAAAGTATGTTTTTCTTTAGTTTAGTTTGATTTATAATAAGTCGAGTAGACGGACTAGTCGCCGGCACTTGATGAGCTCGGAGAGATGAAAAATCATTTTCGAGAGAAGGCTAACAAGGGCAATTAAGACCAAGAAAGAGGGCATTTTAGTATATTATTTGAGGGTCTCTAATTACATTGGCTCTAAATTTTCCTAAGCATAGGCCGGGTAGGCTAGGAAGTAGAGCTAACCTAAGTAAAAAACGAGATCTTTACATAGGGGACCGGTGAGGGAGTAGAAAGTAAAAACCCAAATGATATTTCACAATAGAGAATATTGAAAAATGTGGGAATTGGCATAGTTGCATAAATAGGAATTAGAACGGATATGATAATGCCATAATAGAGATCAACTAAAGCTTACGTCGAAGATTACCGTCCCAACACTATCGGTGCTACTCATTCTTGTGAAAAAGAGGAAGGTGGCTAATTACCGGTGGTGTACCTATGTGAAGATCAATTAAACTAGCCTCCGGCTTAAATTAACAAGCATATAAACAACACAAAGCAGAATCACATGGACTCGAAAAGAAGGAAAAAGGGCGGAAGGTTTCTCTTTTATTCCGCAATAAAAGTCAAGGCAAGAAATCGAATGATGTCAAAGAGTGAAAGAGCTCACACCACGAAGGCGAGAAAGATCAATTTTTACTTTTGGAGGGAAGAGTTTCAAATTTCAAGCAATAAGAAAATAGACCTTTCGTCGCTTCGGGACTACTTACTTACAACATTTAGAACACTATTAGGCGAAGTCCTTGATGAAGGTGAGGAGTTAGAAAAAGTCAACAAGGAAAGATCATAATCGAAGACTTTGAATGCTTACGGAAGGATTTTCGTTCCAATCCTTAAAAAGAAAGGTTAGTCACTTCACTAAGAAAGGAAGGAAAAAAATTACTTATTTTTGGGTTAGCTCTTAAAATTACAAGAAGTCAAGCGAAAGCCAATGGCTCTAGGTCGGCAAGAAGATAAATTCGATCCGATGCCCTTACCCGATTCGATTGGAACACAATACTCATTCCTTTCTCCGTGGGCAGGAGCAAAATAGGAAATATAACAAAAAAACATGAGGAAAGGCACCACCGTTGACTAAGATGATAGGTGCATGAGGACGGACCTTATACCCGTACTTTAAACCTTAAACCAATTAACCATAGGCAAAGACAATAGGCGATGGTCCCACACTAGTAAAAAAAATACCAGAAATAAAAGAAAGGATTTTACGGCGCCCCGGCACATCAATAATAATGAGCCATTTCCTTAACCGGAAGAAAGAAAAAGAAGGCTCGGGCACTAGAATAAAGAAAAAATGGATTTTGCCCCGACTCGAGGGATTACTCATTAAGCCTACCAGGATGACTTGGATTAGGCTGCTCAGGCGGCTTGGAATGCTAGTAGAATAGCTCCGAAAGCTAATGGAAAGCCCGAAAAGCTTCCAAAAGTGGCGGACAACTAGTGAAGAGAATCAAAGAATAGCGAGAATTTCGTAAAGCCTACACCTAAAAAGATGAGCGAGGGGAAGGTGACACTCCTGTCGGTCCTTAGCCTCGGATCTACAAGAACAACCGATTGTACTACATCAAACAAGATTGAGACCACTTGTATAGCTTTCGCAGCTCTTTTCTAATTATGCTATGCCTTCTTTCCCTTTGCTCCTTCTCATTGTATTTTTTGTTGCTTCTATTCACTCTTTTTATGATGACTCAGTCATATAAGGAAGCATGTACTGATTCTAATTGGATAACTGCAATGCAAGATGAGTTGATTGCTCTTCATAAGATTAGCATTCAAGATTTTGTTCCCTTGCCTAAAGGTAAAAATGTTGTTGGTTGCAAATGGTCAAGGTTAAAGCCAACTCTGATGGTTCTCTTGAGCGAGTGTGATTGGTTGCTAAGGATTTTTCTCGGGGGTGTGGTATCGACTATAAGGAGATGTTTGCTCTTCGTTGCCAAGATAACCACTGTTCGTTCCTTAATTTTTGTTGTAGTTCTTCATCAATGGCCTTTGTTTCAAATGGATATGAAAAATGCCTTCATAAATAGGCAAGCGATCAAGTTCTTTATAGAGTGTTGCATCGGTGGTAGTAGCATCAAGTAGCAGCTCTCGCATGTAGCAACGGTATGAATGAAACGAGCGAAGCAGAAGCTCCAAAAGTAGAAGAAAACTATAAGCTCTGAAACATTGGGCTACGAATGTAACGCAAGATACGAAGAAAAGCAGCCCAATGGAGTAGTTCGAGGAGTAGAAATAAACTGGCTGACAACATGCACAACATAAGCAATATCAAAATGAGTAATAATCCGATAAACTAACTTAAGATACAAGGTAGGATCACCCAGAGGAACACCATCAGAAGTTGAATGTTAAATTTTCAACTCAATAAGAGTGGCACGTAGTATCAGTCAACCTAGCACGGTGAATAACCTCATTCACATGCTTAGATTAGGAGAGAAGAAACCAAAGGGGAGAGAAGGCAACTTGGTGTTTGACTTCCATTATACCGTGGTGTCGGGACCTATGATAATCATATCATCTAAATACAATAAAAGAAGAACAGATCCACTAGAAAAGTGGTGCTCAAAAAGAGCAGAATCATGTGCACTAGAAGAAACCCAATCCCAGTTGCCGAAGACTGATAGCGTTCATACCAAGTACAAGGAGACTCGCCCATAAAGAGCCCGACATAAGTGACAAACATGGCTAGATGGGTGAGGAAGCCCGGGAGGAGGACGCATATACACTTCTTAAGTCGGATGCCCATTCAAGAAGGCATTTTTCGCTTCCATTTGAAACAAAGGCCACCGATGAACAAGCTGCAATGAAATTAAGGTATAGAACAAGGACATGCACTTGTCCTATCTAGTTAAAAAAAGAAAAGGTCGATTTAACTTTTTTAAAAAAAATTGTATTAAATACTTTGTAACAAAAAAAGAAAAGAAAAATAATTTTTGCAAAAAAAATCTAATTTCAATAAAGGCTTTACGTAATGAAAAATATTGATGAATCTTTAATTTTTTTTGAATTGTTCTTCTACTTTCAATAAATATTTTCTATGATAAAAAAATGAAAAGAAAAATAAATATTTGGATGCAATTTACTTCGTTAATAATGTCATTAACGAGAAGATCTATATTAAACCAATTGATTCAATATGAAGATCCAATTAATACTTAAATTAATAAAAATATTGATTAATCAATTGCTTGTAGCATAAAGACTACACAGATCGTTAACCCGATTATAAAGACTAATACTCCATAAAGAAAACATTTTTTCAATATATATGATAGTTAAAAAAACATATGTCAATATTAATATATAAACTTAATTTCATCTTTAATTAAGGAAAATACTAAAACATAAATATAATTCTTTTAAAAAATTGGTTAATCTCGTTTTTACATTACATGTCTTTTTATACATCACGTAAAAACTTTAGATAAACTAACATAAACTTTTCAAAACAGTACTTCTAAACTATATGGTAATTTATTGGTATTTTATTTTGACTATCAAACTCTAAAAATTCTTAAAACTAGGTCAACAAAAGTCAGTAATTAAGATCTCAAAAAGAATTACATTGCATCAAAATTTATCAAAGTCTTAAATCCAATCCTTAGTGTCTATATATATATATATATATATATATATGAGAAACGAATTAATTAGTACCTTTATTTCAAAACTAATTATTTAGTTATTTTTGTCCATGTTATGTTCTTTTTTAATTTGTTTTTTTTAAAAATATAATATGGAAATATTGATGATAAAAGAAATTTTTGAAATAAATCAATATTAAATTAAGCATGATCAACATTAATCAAATGATTAAATAATTATTTTTAAAATAAAATGACTAATTAATTTATTTCTTAAAACTAAAGAGACTAATTTATAATTTAATCATCTATATGAGATCTTTGATTACTGTTTTTTCTTTTCTTTTCACAATCTCTACAACTATTAAAAGAATACTCTTTGTTTTTTACGAATTAAGTAGTTACTATTATCCAATTTTGATCTTTTTTTTTAAAAAAAAAACACCATATCCAACATTGTGGGGAAAGAAAAAAGCTCTAAGGAGATTTACTACGAAGAATTGAACTAATAACATAATATTGAAGATTTAGTATCAAATTTTGTACCATAAAGTTTTGGTTCATGTAAATAGACTTGTTCTTTACGTTATAGTTTAGGATTAGTTAGTTGTTGCACTATGCTGCAATGTAATGCCCCGAACCTAAAAATAAATAAATTAGTATATATTAAACGCGTGTGAAAATTATCTTGTTGTACCTAGAATAATTGTTTGAAAGATTCTAGAATATTTTGTGCATTTGAGTGAATTTTTCTATACTCGGTGAATATTTTATAGGCTTTTTCTATGCATGAATAGTATTTTTCATGCAAATTAATTCTTTTGAGTGTTTTGAATGTGTAAGAAAATTATTCTATCGGCATAGAAAAATTTCTAGAGAGTTGTACGAATATTCCATACACTTGGGTGAATTTTTCTGTGTTAGGTGAATACTTTTTGTATGAAATAAGTGCAATTTTATGCAAAATAATTAATTTGAGTGCTTAAATATGGGTATAAAACTTATATGAATGATAAATAAATTATTATAGGAAATTTTTAAATTTATTATGAAAATAAATTATTTTCAGAAAAATGTAGAATTAATTATGCTAAGGGGCGGACCCATGTTCAAGTGTACAAGGCCCCCCTCCAATTTTTGCCCTCCTCAATGTAGCTACTTGAAAAATGTTACATTTTGCACAAGGTAGTAATGGGTCGGGTGAAGTTTTTGGCCTCCCAGCGTATTGCGCTCCTATTTTGGACCAATCTTATTATTGTATAACCAATTGATTTTAGGTTTCTATTTGGGCTATTTTTTTTAAGATATAAAGATTTAATAATTTCGATTTAAGATTACTATAGTAAATTATAAAATAGTCTATCTATTTTTCAAAAATTAATTATTTTTTTGAACGATGATCATATTTAATTTACATTATTTTATTTCAAAAAATGTTATTTCTTTCATTAGCTCTTCTATATATAATAATAATAATAATTTTTTTTTTAAAGATATAACGATTTAATAATTTTGATTTAAGATTACTATAGTAAATTATAAAATAGTCCATATATTTTTCAAAAATTATTTAGTTTTTTGACGAGTGATCATATTTAATTTGCATTATTTTATTTCAAGAAATGTTATTTTTTTCATTAATTCTTATATATATATATATATATATTCCTTAAATATTAAATTACAAGAAAATTACAAGAACTAAATAATTTGTTTTTGGAACAAGAAGAACTAATTAATCCATTTAAAAAAAAAAACTAGATAGACTAACTTATAATTTACTCAAGATTACTATTACTACTATATCCGATTTGTGTCAAAGGTCGATGAAGATAAAAAGAAATTTAAAACTTATCCACTTGTGTATAAAGTGATAACATTTATTCTTATTCTTTCGGTTTCTACCACTACCACAAAGCAGTCATTTTAAGCTATGAGTATAGTTAAGATTAAGCTTCGTAACAAGATAGAAAATGACTTTCTTTCCAATTGCTTGTTGGTGTATATTGAAAAAGAAATTGCTAAAAATTTTAGTATAAATTCATTTATAGATAATTTTCGTGACTTGAAGGAAATATCTCTATTTTGAGTGATTGTATTTTGAGATTATTTCAAAATATATATTGGTATGTTATATATATAAGTTTATATAAAGTATAATAAATTTATAAATATTTATTTCGACCCTTGTGAACATTTGATCTTGCATCCGCCATCGATTATGCATACATTTTTTAGAATGATCATGGAAAAGGATTTCATGGCATGGGACAAGGATTTCGGAACAAACATGAAAATGATTTCTTTCATGTGTATTACACTTGCATACATATACAACATGCATGATTCACTTATTAAGCAATCGCTCATTGAGTTCTTGCAATGTAGGAAACTAAAGTAAAGATTAATGGTGATGTTTTCATTTGAGTCAGTTATCGAAGGATCATCCCTATCGGTTCATCAAGTGTATCTCACTTACGGATGTAAACCGAACCTCCTTCACACCATTGTTCTACTATCGGTTCATCACGTGTATCTCACTTACGGATGTAACCGAACCTCCTTCACACCATTGTTCTATTGGTGCTAGGTACTCTAATATACATACTGGGTATAGCTTCCTTGTTCTATATGATAGCAAAAGTTATGAATGAGTAAATAGTTAGCTAATGATGGAAAATAGTTTGTAAATAAATAAACCACTTTTTTGGTATGTGGTAAAATATGGATAGGTTGTACTTTAATCAAATTTTGGACATATAGATAATAATGTAATGGTATAGTGATGCTTAATAGTTTCTAGTAAGTAGTGTGTAGTTAGTAATTTCTCTTAGTTAATTACTTGCATGCCAATACTTATGATAAATTGGACAATTAACTAATCACGATAATAATAAGAAAAGAAATAAAATATTAGAACAAAAAAATTTAGCAATGCATTTTGGACGAGATATTTAGGACCTTTTGCTTATTTAGTAGGCTTCCACAACATAACCTATACGTAGTAATGCCATAGGAAAGACATAGTATCTTATTGGTTTGCATTCATTGTACTTCGAATATAAGCCAACAACGATAGTATTCTCAACCTATTTAGGCCCTAGATTAGGGGTGTTACACTACGGGTCGGACAAAACGAGATAAAATTTATTTAAAAAATTATTTTAGTTTGATAGTATGTGTTATATATGTCACAAGTTGACTAAAATATATTAAATAAAAAATCATCAAAATTTTGTATTTAATTTATTTTTCTTTATAGTTTTTATAAATTTTGTTGTTAAAAAAAACGTTTTTTCTATATTAATTTTTAAATAAAAACTTACAATAATTTAGATAGAAACTTTAATTTAAAATTTTAAAAGTACAAAATTTTAAAAGTACTTTAATATTTTTTCATAACATTTTATCAAAAAATAAAAAAAACAATTGATATAAAAATCTTTATAAATATTAATAGATGAATTTTTTTCTCAGTCCATGAGAAGATTATTTAAAAATATATAAATATTAGAGAAGAAACAGACACATCAAATGAAAATGTGCCCATACAAATAATAAATCATATAGATCAACGATTCACCAGGCTAAAGTCAGGCAATTCTCTACATCGAATGCTGGAGGCAAGGAAAAATGGAGGCAAAAAGAAACCAAAGCACAACCCTTGAATCACCATCGTCATGCAACATTAAATACTGTGAAAAAAGAAATGAAACTTACCAAAAGGGAAAAAAATAAAAAATTGGAATGAAAGGAAACAAATGGAGGGGTAAATAGATAACATGAATAAGAAAAAGTGGCATAAAAGAAAATTGGCTCAAAATATAAGGGTGAAAAAATCCAACCTGTCTGGCACAAATTCTAAGAAAGAAATGAAAAGGAAAGCAAATGAAAAATACATTTTAAAACACATTAGAAGGAACAGATGGAGAATCATATGGTATCAAGCAATGGGAGCCACGCACACTACTAAACAAACAATCCAGATGCATGCAAAGAAGATAAACAATGCAGTTAAGTGATAGTCCATAGTTACTTGAGTTTGTGTGAACAGTGTAGGTATAAGAATATCACCATTTTTTTTAGTGTTTTTTTTTAATATATATGTTAGAGTTGTAGCTTTCACAAGAAAAAAAAATTTAGATACCCATAGTCCTATACTCTTGCCAAAAATCCTTTTGATTCCAAAAAATTATGGAAGCTATAAAGAAATGAAAGGACTTACTATTTATTAAGAGGTGGTTTAAAAGCTAAAGTATTGAGATGATAATATTTATTTTTCCCAAAAAGAAAAGAAATCCAAGTTTACCTAAAAAATAACAAATAATTGGGATAACTACCAAAAAAAACTTTCTAAAAAAATCTTCTATCTAAAAAATCCTTCAATTTATTTTAAAATTTATAAAATACAAAACAATATTTTTCTTATCAATATTGGGTGTTTTGATAAGAAAAATATTATTATGGGTGTTAACACCTAATTTTGACCCCTTGTTTTAACAAAAATTTCAAAAAAAATTTGAAAATGCTAAAAAAGATCATGTTATTTGATTTTTAAAATTTTAGTCTTTTTTTTAGTTTGTTACGAGTTTTTATCATCTTTATGAGTTTTGTGAGCGTTGAAAAAAAAAAGATCAAGTATAAAAAAAATTATAAAATAAAATGAGTAAAAAAATAAGAAAAAGAAAATCAAGAAAAAAATAGAAAAGAAAGATCGCAGCGCAAATTAAAGAAAAGAAAAAAAGAATAGGGACCAAGAGAATCCAATTGAGGATGCAATTAATAACAAGGAGAAAGTGAAGGACAAAAATTGGAATTGACACCAAACCCACCTATAAATACCTTTCTTTCTCATAAAACGAAAAAAAAAAAAAGATAAAAAAAGGGGTGAGGTAGCCAATTATTCATAAAAACAAAAAAGGGCAGCCATTTTTTACTCCGCACCTGACACCACATACCCAAAACTCTTATCTACCCACATAACCCTTCAACTAGTCATTGCTATTCTCCCTCTCCCAGGACCACTATTGTCAGTAGCCACCCCAAAATTGTCCTCCTCTTAGCTACGCCTCCCTATTGAAACTTACAAACATCATCCTCTTGTCATCAACCACTAAAGTCCATCGTTACCACAACATCATGCCTCTCATCAACAAATGGAACCAACTGCAGCACCAATAGCCTTGCCATTGTCCACATTAGTCAGATCTCCTCTCCTCAATCCCATTGTCAAACACAAACCCTCACTCATCTACACCACCATTAAACTCGTGGGAATAGGAGACAAAAAGAGGCTAACAGCCTTATCGCTAAAGAAGAGAGAGGAAAAGAAAAAAGGTCAAATCTTATACTACTTCGATCTCCCTTTACAGGTGGTGGTGGTGGTGGATAACACCACCTGCAACAAAAGGAACAGGAAGTTAAAAGCTATTAGGAGGAGTACTTCACTTGTTGATTAGTGGTTAGAGTGGTTGAGGGGTGACTACATACGCTAGAGGGCATTTTTATTATTTTCATGCATTGAAAAATCTATAATTTTTTACTCCAAAAGGTAAATTGGTAATTTTAAAACTATCTAAGTGAAGTTATGTTATTTTCAATACGTTGGGTTTATTGGTAATTTTCAACACAAAGGTATTTTGGTCATTTTAATGGCTATTTAGTTTGTTTTCGTACCTCATCTATTATTTTAAATTCTATATCATATTATTATGTATGGATTGATCAAGTATGTATTGATCATGTGTGTATTAAAGTGTTGTATCACCAATTGAGGCGATATTTAGAAAATATGATGCTAACAAGAAATTTAGTACGGACATATAAGGTTGATGTTTGATACTCTACAAAGAAATTTGAAGGACGAGAATATGTTTGATGTGATTGGTTTATTCAAGATGTAACAGTTTGGTCGTGGTTTGGATTTCTAATTGTCTGCTTGTTTGCTTCCACGTTTGGTGAATTGTTTGTGTTAACATGATTTTTGTTCATATCTTAACGAACTTTGTAGAGTATGATTTTTGAAATTTTTATATTTTTAATTTAATTGAAATTACTATTGGCTTTTTTAATCTTGATGAATGATTATGCTTAAATTTAGAACCGTTGTTCGTTCATTTTGAATAATAGCTAAACTTGATTTGAAGTAGTCAATGATTTGCTTATCTTTGTTTTGTATAATCACTTGTTGTCGAGTGGATTTATGCTTTATTTTAAATGCCAATTCAATCTGTTCACTGTCAAATAATATTTTTCAAATCAATCACATCTTATTTGGCAACTTTTAAAGTTATCATAATCTCTTTTGGAATTTTATCAAGCTATTGTCTTTTTTATGAATGTTATTTTATTTCGTGTTAATATTAGTAAATCATTTAAAAATAAAAAAAGTTTCTTCTATGCCTTGTGTATAATTGCCTAGGGTATTATGCGCGTGTGCGCACACACACACACGTATATATATATATATATATATCTTTGGGAGGTGGTTGATCGAGGATGCTACTATGAATGTTGGTCTTGTGTAGTTTCATTTAGTTTGGCGTTTTGCTATACGTGAAAGAAGTAGTAGCTTAATAGTGAAACCGACTCTTATGTCAATAATTGAAATTTTGTTTGCCTAATTTTTCAACTATTTGTTTTGTTTAATTTCTTTACTTATGTTATCTAGTATTGAGGCTATTATCTTTCCCGCAAATGAGTTTTTCATATGAGAAAAATAACTTAGAAACAATTAGTATCACATAAGTGAGAAGCCACCAACAACTTCATTTTAGCAAGTAGAAATCAAATACAATGATTTGAGAGCCATCAATGGCTTTGTCGACATAAGGGAGAAGCCACCGATAGCTTTGTTTCGATGAAAAAAAATAAAATAAAATAATTCAAAAGCCATCGACGGCTTTGTCTAAATAGGTAGGAAGCTACCGACAACTTCATTTCAATCGAGTAGGAAGTCATTTTGTCATGCATTGGACACGAATAACAAGTATTCAGCACATGACATTCAATATTATAATCAATCACATCATTCAATCACAATCACAATCACAATCAAAACAATCCTATATTCTAAAATAAAACAATTTAATCAATGATATCTAATGGGTATAATTTTTGAATGTTATTAAAATAAGTTGAACGGTGCTTGAAGCTACCAAAAAACTCGTTTGGGATCATTTCTACTCTCTTCCTCTTCGATGAAAATTGATTGTTCAATTAGTTAAACAAGAAGAGCAACTAGCCGTTGCTCGAGATTGTTGGTATAGGTTCCACTAAGGTAGCTATTAGTGATGGTTGATCATGGTAGTAACCACTATTACCGGTCAAAGCTACTACTAGTGGTTGAAGTTACTGTTACTAGTTGAAACTAGCTACTGTTGCTGGTGTGGGTTGCTCAAGCTTATTAGCATGGTGAGGCTGCTCTTATGGTGGTTGCTAGGATGAGTTATTGGCAATGTAGTGACTTACTGGGGGATGCACGCTAGGATTGAAAGAATTTCCAACAACTAGAAACTCTACAAAGAATGTAATTTATAACATCATGTTGTTCGTGCCAAAGTAAAAAATAACCAATAACAATTTTTTATGATTTTTATGTCCAAAAATTAACCCAAGTTTTTGTTACTGTCAATGACAAAACAACATATATTCTGCATTTTCAAATTTCTTCGAATCTTTGAAGCATAAAGGACATCATATAGATACAAGATCTTTCATTCTTGCAAATTAAACTTGCATATGCCAAGTCCAAGCAGCTTCAACTCTCATTTTGTTACCAACATATATCCATCACGTCCTACTTGGAATCCAACAAAATTCTACAAATGTATCTTTATCTCTAGCTACATGGTTGGTGGCTCTTGAGTCTACAGATCCACAAAGGATGAGATTTGATAAGAAATAATACCGTAAACATAAATATTAATAGAAAATTTGTTTAAAGACAATACCTTCGACCTAGTACACTTACGAATGAAGTGACCTAGCTTGCCATATTTGTAGCATATCAACTTATTCTTGTCTTTCTTGCCATTATACTTTCCTTTATTACGCTTAAAAAATATGTTCCTTTTTTTGGTCTTTGTCCAATCTATTTCTTATTCTTATGCCATTTATGTTTAAAGCAACTATATACAAATAATAATGTGACCCTTTCAAGTAACTTATTCATACATTTACATTTAAAATAAACTTAAAATATAAACATATATTTCAAAGAACTATATGCAAATAGTTCATGAGACTATATACAAAGAAAATGAATCTTCAACATCATTATTGTACTAATTATCACTATCACTTTTAGAATAATTATCATGTTCATTATTGTCGTTGTTATGATATTTTATATGCTTTAGGATTGATTTTTTGAATATTTTCCTATCAAGAGTGTTAAGAAGTTTTTTTGTAAGCCACGACTTGTCTTGCACTAGTCTTCCGGAAGTGTGAGTACCGAGGGTTAGATTAGTGGATAAAAAAATTGGTTTTGAAAAACTTTTCTAAGTAATTCGTCAATGAACTCGTACATAAAGTCATTATAATTTTTTATTTTCAGTTTAAACACATCCATAGCTACATTTATTTGCCATAATTCACCAACCTACATCTTAAGTCTTGAGGGAAAGTCTCCCACAAAGCTATTATTTTCTCTCTTTCGATCATTACTTGACCATTGTGAACTACTTTTTGGGTTTTTTTATTAACGTTCTACAATACTTTATAATAGCGTGACTTGTTCAATGAACTTGCACACAGTGGTCATCCTATTATTTAATTTTGGGTTTGAATATATCTACATCTATGTTTGCTTATCATAATTCACCAAGCCGCATCTTAAGACTAAGAGGAAGAGTGTTCTACAAAGCTATGATCTATTCTCCTTTAGTCATTGCTTGACCATTGTGAACTACTTTTGGATCATTTTATTGATCCTTTTGTAATGCTCTATAATAGTGTGGACCATGTTCATAGTATACTCGACAAGTTTTTTTTTGTATTTTTCAAGCTTTTCTCTTTACCATTGTGTTCTCATAGCTCTAGAGGATGTGCAAGTGATTGTTTTATATGCATTTGGCTTGTTTCTTCTCAAATCTCGATAGTGTTTGATCTATCGTAGCTTTTAGACCAAGTATTATTTTTCTTAACATAAATTAAAAATAAAAATTAATAAATTATAATAAGATCCTAAATCTACAAAGTATATTATTAAAAATAATGCCTTATTAAAATAACTTAAAATGAATTTTATTTTATTTTATTTGTTATTGTATTTATTAAAATTTTGGAATAAATTCAAAAATTTTCATAATTTCATTTCTAGACCCTTGCCACATTAAGCATTGCATAAAATATTTTTTAGAATTTTCTTGGCATTTATTTCTTTAAAAAATTGTTATTAATAAATTTCTTACTTCTTTTATAACAATAATTGAAATAAATTTCTTATGATATAAGAAATATAATTATTAAACATAATTATGCTCACAAATATATAAATAAATTTTCAAAAACTTTCAGCATTTAATTCACTTTATATTAATTATCATTAAGTTTTAATCATTTTTCATAGAAAAATTAATAATAAATATTTCTAAATCTTACAAGATAATTTTAATTTATCAATAATTTAAAATTTTGGCTTGGTGCTCTAAAGCTCCAAATTAGGGTTCTAGTACAAAAAGGTGTTGATTTGAATTTTAAAATTCAAAACTTTTCCTAATATTAACGAAATTTAATATTATTTGTTTCGTTGTAAATTTTGCATTTCATACAATAAGAAAATATATATTTCATTTATGATATACACCGTAGCATAATGATAATAATAATAAAATCATCTTAAAATAGGAAAGCTATCATATATGAATAATTCAAGAATACACCATAAATTGTAATTTAATCATGGAAACTATTCATTATTCATTACGTTTTAATACCATTGTAATAAATTATGTGATAAAATATAAATAACAAATTTAAGATCAAAAGAACACTATCCCGAAAATGGTTTTACTACATTAATCGATGGTGATATCAAATCACAATCAAAACTTTCATAATCCAAATGCCAAAATAATTTCTCACTTCTCTTTTAGTTTTGCTTTTCCGTATTACTTTTGATATTAATTTGGTAGAGAGTCTCAAATATACTATTCTCTCTTTCTATGTTATATATATATATATATGGGAGTTAAGGGAGACAACTTCCCTCACTCTATATACAACTACATATAAAAAACTAAAAGATTTGGGATAAATGAAGAGTATATTACTGTTCATTTACTTTTCATTTGTCTTAGGTCACTATTCATTATTGTTTAGAGAGTGGCAGTTTTGTAATTTTTTACAATGATATTTTCATCATTTTCTTATTGCTTTTTGAGCATTTATTTTTAAATTTTACAATTCATTCCTTTTCGGTGCCTTATGTTTTTAAATCCTCATATTTTTAAAAATATTTTAAAATCTTATGTTTTTAACTTAGTCCATTTTTGTCTCACGTTTTTTTTTTCAAAAAATATATATTTTTCTCATATTTTTAAAAGATGTTTTTAGCCTATTATATTTTTAAATTTTAGAACAAGCACATATATAGGACTATATTTTTTTTATTGATTAAATTAATCTCTTAAATTTCTCATTTATTATAAAAATTCTGATCAAATAATTTTTTTTTATTTTTATAAAATTTTATTTGTTAATGAATATGATTTATCTTTCTCTCGTGTATGAATTTTTAATATGTTTTTTTAATAAATAGTAGAATAGACGTGTTTCTTTACCTTATTCTTGATATAATCAATTTTTTAAATAAAATGATAAATTATTACACTTTATTAACTTTGATATATTTCTTACAAATTAATTTTTTTGAACATATTTTTTAATTTGTACAAAGTAAGGTAATGATGTACAAAAAAGTATTGAGATCATTGATTTTATTAAAAATTAATTAGGCATCTACACATATAACACCAACTATTTCCTATTAATTATTTTTAATATTCTAAATTTAATTTATTTTGAATAAAATAATATTTTAAAAGAACCACCTAATAATTCAAATAATTTTTTTTATACATAATATTATTGATTGTTTCATGTGTGTGTGTGTGTGTGTGTGTTTATATATATCAAATGTACATATTTTTAAAAAGTTTTAAAAAATTCATTAGTTAATTTTTATACAAATTTTATATTAATTATTGATATATTTTTTCAATGTAGTCTTATGAAAAAAATATTAAGATATTTTTTAAAATTTTATAGTTCTATTATTATAGGTTTTTATTTAAGAATGAATGAAAAAAAATGAATCGTGTTTTTTTTAACAACAAAATCTATGAAAAACATAAAGAAGCACGAATGAAATACAAAATTTGATTAAAAATTATGAAATTACATAAAAATTTTATCTTTTATTTTTAATTTAATATATATTAGTAGAAAAAACTAAAAGATGTGAGATATTTACTATTGTTTTAGACTCGCATTTATTATTTATTGTGTTGCTTGATTTTTTACCATCTAGCTTTTCGTTAATTTCTCTTTTGCCACTTGATGGATTTGAGAAACTCCATTTTTATCTTGACTGATTATTTTTTTAATTTTCTTTTTGGACCTTTTTTCGTTATTTCCTTCTTTTGTTTTTTTTTTTTTCGAGTGAGCATTTAATGCTCCTACCTTCTTTCAATTTTTTTTCTTCTTATTTTCGAAGGGAAGCCAAAGCCACTTGCTATTAAAGAGTGCTTATAAATTAGTCCCTCTTTCTTCGAGAAATAAATTAATTAGTCCATTTGGTTCAAAAACTAATTTTTTGCCCTTTTTTGCTATTTCAATGTTTTTATTTTTTGTTTTAAGAAATAGAGAAAGAATAAAAAAACTAAAAAGATATTAAAAAAATATTTTATAAAATAAAAAATTATTCGTGGTTAAAACTGATTAAAAAAGTTAAATAATTTATTTTTGAAACTAAGAGAATTAATTAATTCATTTCTCAAAATGAGATGAACTAATTTATAATTTAATTTGCAATTCAATAATCTGTTTCATCATAGATTAAGAAGTAAAATTTATAGAAACCAATTTTGTAGTAGTTTTTATTTTAATTTATTGACTTTAATATATTCCATACAACTTAGATGTTTTTTTTTTAATGTTTGTTTATGCTATGTACTCGAATCTACTAAGTATAATCATAATATATATATATATATATATATATATATATCATTAGTTTTGTTAGAAATTAATTATGTATCCGCACACATAACACCAATTATTTTTTATTTATTCTTTTTTATGTTCTACAATCAATATTTTTAAATAAAATAATTGAAATAATGTTTTGAAAGAACCTTTCAATTATTTAAACATAATTTTTTATACTAATGTTATTGATTATTATTTTTAATATATATTAAATGATTTTGCTTATCAAATAGATTTGATTTGCATTTACTATATCTTACGAATCGTTGACTCTACGTATGTAACGTTATCCGATTGCAACGTAGCACGAATATCCAACAAGTAATTACTAAAGCAACTATTTCTAATTTTTTTTATAGATAATTATGTTGCTTGTTAGACTTGTCATGGCCGACCCAACCCAAATTCTTTTTCTTTTTTAACAAATACCGATTATAAATATTAAATCAATCATGTATTTTACGAATTTAAAAAATATATATATATTTTTAAAAAAATCTAACCTACTTGCATAATACATGAAATCCACTAGTGTAGCTAATAAACAATAACGGTTGTAGAGCACACAAATATGGATTACTACGATGCGAGAAATTTTATAATACTTAATGAGTAGCTAATGGCATATACAGATTGTTACTCTATGAATCTACTTTAAGGAGAGAGATAGATACAAAAAAGAAAAAGAGAGAATTACATCTAGACCTATAAAAAATAATAAAAAATTTTCTATATTCGCTCAATTTTTTTAATTTTTTCTCCTTTAGATACATCAAAATTGATAAAAAAAATTTCTATTTTATTTAATTTTTTTTTAATTTTCTCTCTTTTATTTCTCTCTTCTTTTTTGTAACTACGTCTATCTATCTCTTCAGCAAAAATCCATAAAGTATGGGTCACTAATTACACTTTAACAATTACAAAAAGCATTTCAAGTTCAAATACTTGACCAATCTTGTAACCCAACTTTCCAAGCAGTTTCTTCTCCAATCAAAACTCTCATCTAACGATATTAAAATTCAAATACGCTTCCATAATCTAGAGGCATCTCAAAACACCATTACCACGTACAAACCAAAAAAAAAAAAAAATGGAAGCTGAGAGCTCTAGTACCAGCACTACCACATCCTCCCCCATCAAAACGGTGGTGGTTCTTGTCCAAGAAAACCGTTCATTTGACCACATATTAGGGTGGCTAAAGACTATAAACCCAGAAATCAATGGAGTCACAGGTTCTGAATCCAATCCCATCTCCACCTCTGACTCAAACTCAACCTTCATATTTTATGGTGACCAAGCTGCCTACGTTGACCCGGACCCTGGCCACTCGATCCAAGACATTTACGAACAAGTTTTTGGAGTTCCTTGGACCGAATCTGCGCTTTCTGATGATAACAAACTGCCTCCAAAAATGAATGGCTTTGCACAGAATGCAGAGAGATTGCAGAAGGGCATGGCTCAGACTGTTATGAATGGGTTCCAACCAGATGCAGTTCCAGTCTATAAGGAGTTGGCTGAGAACTTCGCTATTTGTGACCGGTGGTTTGCTTCTATTCCTGCATCAACACAGCCTAACAGGCTGTATGTGCATTCTGCAACTTCTCGTGGAGCTACCAGTAATAACAGACAATTGCTGATTGAAGGGTACCCTCAAAAGACCATATTTGAGTCCCTGGATGAGGCTGGTTTTACTTTTGGGATTTATTATCAGTACCCGCCAGCTACTCTCTTTTACAGGTAACATTAATTTTATTACATGTTCAATGTTTCTGCTCTATTTCTTTCTTTCCTGTTCTTTAATTAATTTTCTTCCTTGAGATACGAAATATTGGGACTGGTGGTTAGATCTAGATGGCTTAATAATTGTTTATTTTAGGTTTTAGTTTTCAATGGTTTCATCATTAAAAAACGAAGGCAGGTGGTAGAAAAGCTCTTGAGTGCACGTAATGGGGAAACAGACGTGACAGGAAAAAAAAAAAAAAAAAGAAGAAAAAGAAAAAGAAAAAGAATATTTTGACTTTTTATTGATTTAGAAAGAGAGACAGAAATTAAGTACGTAGCAGCTAAATTTAATGAAGTGCGTAAAGAATAAATGTGAAATTTTGAATTGTGATCTTATCCTAAACATTTCTACCAAATATCTACCAACTAATCAGCTTTTTACTTAGTTACTAGTGTTTCCATTTAAAATAAAATCTATATATTCTTCTCAACAAAAATAAAAACCTCAAGCAAACTGCAATTGAAAGAATTTTATATATCACGAAATTTAAAAATTTGAAGTAATATTTAGAAAATATATTTTTAAATAATTATATGTTAGAAAACTCTATGCATGCAATTGGTATAAGATTGTAACAGAACAAATTATAATAATGATCAACAAATTATAACAACTATTATAACTATGTAATCTTGTGGTGGTGAATATTTATATTGGTGAAAAGAAATCTGTTTTTTGCAATTTTTTTTCTTGCAATAAAACCTCTTTTATTTTGAAACAATTAAGGTGAACGTAATTAAGCAAAAGTAAATAAAAGCATGTAAAAATCGACGGATGAAAGTTATTGTCATATAATCAGAATAACGATCAACGAATTAATTATAGCATAAGCCAAGGCTTAGGAGGGGGTTTCTTGCTTGACTTTAGTTTTTCTTTCTTTCTTTCTTTTTTCCTTCTTCTCTCTACAATAAAGTGAGGGACCTACATATCTTTTGACACTCCTAATTGTTACTATTTGTTTAGAAAACTTTGAGAAATTCAATGTGAATTCAATTATTAAATTAGGAAAGTGCTATCTGCACGTCCCTCCGATTATAACCTTACTTCCACTAATTTTTTTTTTTTTTTTTATACTTAAATAGATTACTACTAACAGGCTTCTCACGTTACACTTTTTAAGCTTCATGATTCATTGAATTAAATATATTTATTTTAATTTGATAATATGTATTATATTATCGATCAACTAAAATATATTAAATTAAATATAAAATTTTATCAAAATTTGTATCTATTTTTTGTTTATTTTTTAATAATTTTTCTAGTTAAAAATTATTTTTTATGCATTTATTCTTCTTAAATAAAAACTCATAATAATCTAAATATAAAATTTTAAAAATATCTTAATATTTTTTTATAGTATTATATCGAAGAAATAAAGCAACAATTAATATCAAAGCTTATATAAAAATTAATAAATGATTCTTTTTTATTCTTATTTAATATTGATGAGAAGAATATTTTTTAGAAAAAATATTTAAATTTGATTTATATATATTTATTTACAAAATAATGAATAATATTAGTATAAAATTTGTAGTTGAATTATTAAGCTATTCTTCTAAAACATTATTTTAATTATTTTATTTGAAAAAAATTAATTTTAAAATATTAAAAAATAATAGTCAATAGTTGATGTTATGTATGTAGATATATAGTTAATTTTAAATAAAATCTATAACTCTAATATATTTATTTTTATACATCATGACTGTATTCATTGGATTATAGTGTGCAATATAAATCGATTTTTTAATAAAATTTAAGTTAGTAGAGTGCAGTAAAAAAACTATCAAATTGATTTTGATTATATAAAGACTAAGTAAATAAAACATGTGAATTCTATTTTTAAAATTTGATTATTTAAAAAATAAGCAAATAAAAACCATTGCACAAAAAAAAACTTATTCAAAAATCTATACATTGAGAAAATAAATCATATTTATTAACAAATAAAATTACATTAAAAAGAAAATTAAAAAGTTAATTCGATGAGAATTTTTATAAAAAACGAAAAATTGAAAAAATTAGTTTTCAACCATAAGAGTTTTATAATCTGATATATATGTATATTGTAAAATCTAAAAACATATCGTTTATATTTCATAATCATTACTTTATGTGAAAAAAATAAAAATTAGTTTTTTATAATTTCCATAAATAATTCAATAATTAAAAAAAATAAATAGATAAAAAAAAACTAAAAATAAAAAAAGGCAAGTCTGCGTGTCAGGCTTCTACAAGCCCAAGACAACTACGCGTTCCTGATCCTGTAGAAGCAAACCCAATGCAAACCGTGCATTTTAGAGTGCAGCAGCCTAAGGGATCGAACTTTTTATTTTAAAATTTCAAAAACCAAAATAAAATATAATGTATAATTCGAATATAAATATCCAAAAATAACTTTTATATATATCACCTTTAACTACGTAATCTACTGTGTTATGTGAGGGATGAACCATGAAATTCAAAAACCCAACATCTTTTAATTTCTTTTAATAATCCTGTACAAAAATCATGAATTTTCTTCTCATTATTTTTCTCTCCTCTATCCTTCTCTCTTTTCTTTTCTAGAGCCCACATGGCCACATCATGAAAACTACCGTCAAAGAACCCACCAAAATATTTGTATCTTGACCTCTTCCTGTTATCTTAAGTGTCACTGTGTCTTTACTCAACTTCATAGACACAATCCTTGTGGCTAAATAATTGAGAGCCAAGGCAAGAATTCCAAATTTAGAGGCTGAAAAAAGCACATGACATTATTTGAAATGAGAGAGGTAACATAATATCAAATTTAGCTGTTGGCATTTATCTTACCTTATCCCATTCTCTAGTTCATAAAATGCCCAAATCCATTTAGGGTTTAATTTCTTAAAATCCGGTGAATTATTCTTTGATTACTCTCACCTATTCTTAATGAATGTAAAATGACTAGTTGGGATTGCTTTCTCTTTTGCTCTCAATTTTGTGATGTTTATAATAAAATCTCAAGTTAAAAGCAAACACAGTTTGAAATCATTTATATGTTCTGTATAGATGATGAAGATGTATCACATGAATAGATGAGTCACTAAGGACTGAATCAATAAAAGTAAATAAAATCAAATAAGCGAAAATTCATTCGTAGCTTGGGCAAGGATGATAAGCAGTGTATACTTAATATCCAAACCTAGAACCAATTACAAGTGAACAAAATTTATATGTGAAACTGCTAAGAAATGGGACTTAAAAAAATCCATGGATCGGGATGACAATAGTGGATTGGGTGGCGGTTGGCTTGGTGGTGATGAAAGAGAATGATGGTAAAATGATAATATTAGTTTAGATACACTATAATATGGGTAAAAGAAAAACATATGAGAAAAAACGAAACTGAGCCAAAATATTTGCTCCGTTGGATGTGGGTTCTAGGGGAGAGAGAAGCGATGATCGAGAGGAAAATTCATGATTTTTATCTAGGTCTATAGTTGTTAATTTGAGTAAAAAAAAAAAAAAAAAACAAGTTAGATACACATGTTTGGTTTAGAGGTTGAGCTATACGTTTGCTTTAGGTATAACTTTTGTGAATGTAGTTGTGGATGTGTCTATAGTCATGTTTGATTAACAAAAGTTGTTGGACTTAAACTTGTAAATAATATGAAAAAAATAATAATAAAAAAAAACCTACAAAAGCCACAAAATATGGGTTCTGAAAAAACAAAAATGTACGGCTTTTGAGCTTTTAAAACGAGACCCCGCGCGGTAGATCTTTTGAGTTTTTGTTTTAATAAATGAGTTCTCACTCAGAACCGTACTAAAATAGTTTTGTAACTGGTTACTCAAGTTAAAGTTTAGTGACATGCCATATTAATGTTTTTCTCTCATGAAAAATCTCATTGTTAACAGGAACCTAAGAAAGTTGAAATACTTGACAAAGTTTCACCAGTATGATCTCCACTTTAACAAGCACTGTGAAGAAGGGAAGCTACCAAACTATGTTGTCATCGAACAACGATATTTTGACCTTTTATCGATACCTGCAAACGACGACCACCCATCTCATGATGTCTCAGAAGGCCAGAAATTTGTGAAAGAAGTATACGAGGCGCTAAGAGCTAGTCCTAAATGGAATGAAATCCTGTTTATAATCATATATGATGAACATGGTGGTTTCTACGATCACGTTCCAACTCCTGTAACTGGTGTCCCTAGCCCAGATGACATTGTTGGTCCTGAGCCATATAACTTCAAGTTTGATCGTCTTGGGGTTAGAATTCCTGCATTTCTCATATCTCCTTGGATTGAACCTGGAACAGGTACAGTCAGAATTTTTGCTCTATTTATAATGGAATAGAATTAATTTACCAAGTATATTAATTTCTTTTTTCTTAAATGTATGCCTTTTAATGTATATCTTGATGTTTGAATTTAAATTGCAGTGTTACATGGGCCTTCTGGACCATATCCTACGTCAGAGTTTGAGCATTCTTCAATTGCAGCAACTGTTAAAAAGATCTTTAATCTGGAAGAGTTCCTAACTAAGCGTGATGCATGGGCAGGCACTTTTGACGATATTTTGACTAGAACTAGTCCAAGAGTAGATTGTCCAGGTAAAATATTAATTATTAACATGATTTTTTTTTCTATTAAAATTAAAAAGGCTTTAAGTTCTAATTTTTATATATAGTCATCAATCGCCACTCTTTTGAGATGCATTTTACAGTTACTTTGGTTGAACCTGTAAAATTACGTGAGGGTGTTGCAAAAGAAGATGCAGAACTTAGTGATTTCCAAAAAGAACTAGTGGAAATGGCAGCAGTATTGAATGGAGATCACAATAAGGATGTTTATCCTCAACAACTTGTGGATAACCTGAACGTAGCAGATGCCGTGAAGTATGTTGAGAATGCATTCAAGAAATTTTGTGATGAATGTGAAAAAGCAAGGAAAAGTGGTGTGCCCGATTCTGAGATCATTTGTTTTGAAAAGCCAACAACACACGCAACATCCAAATCTTTCGTTCGTAGGCTATTTTCTTGTTTGATTTGTGATGACAATTGAACTTCTGTACATATGCATGGTTTGCAGATGGATTGTATTCAATAATTCCAGTTTCTTTGAATTTATTTATCAGCATTATTATTATTATTATTGACTTCACTGTAATATGTATGATTGTGTAATTTATTCCATGAGATTCTATTTGCATTAATATTGTTGCTCTGAACTTATTTACTTCAGATTATTACATATTTAAATGTTTGAATTTTCATTTTTTTTTCTAATCAAGTATTTAATTTTTTAGATTTTATAAAATACATAATGAGAAGATCGTTAAATTAAGATGTTAGAATGTTGACCTGTCTGTCATGTGTGTATGAACATTTCACCTATATTTTTTTTTTTTTACTATTTGAGCGTATTTATTTTATTTTATTCAAATTTAAAAAACATAATAATAAGAAGCATTGAAAAAGTAAATTTATGTTCACCATAAAAGAAAAACAATTAAAAACATAAAAAAAAAAAACTAAAAACATTAGGGTTTTGATGAAGTTTGGTATGGAAATATATGTGTTAATGTGAAATCAACAATTATATATATATATATATATATATATATATATATATATATATATAATTGTTGTGTGATGAATTAGTTAGTTTTTTTTTTTTTTACTTCTTAAAATTAGTAATGGAAAATTGTTTAGTTTGTTAAAAAATGGAGAAATTTGAGTAATTTTGCGGTTTCTTCTTCTTTTTCTTCTTCTTCTTTTTTTTTTTTTTTTTGACAAGTTGCTTTTGATTTTTATGTTCTTTTAAATTGAATATGTTATTATTATTGTTTTTTATTTTTATTTTTAAATTTATTAAAAATGGTCTACATAATATTGAAAAGTGAATATTCATTAGATTTCAAAATATGTCAGCAATGTATTGGCCACATCAACATATATTTCAAATAATCTAATAGAAACACTTGATTAAAAAAAATAAAAAATATACACATTCAAATAGAAAAAATAAAAAGTGAAACATTCAAATAAAAAAAATCAAAATGTTTGCACACCAAATATATAATAATTTAAATTTCCTTTGTTATTTTTATCCATTAAAACTTCAATCTATTTTCTTGGTTTCCCTTTAAAGGTCTAAGTAGATTTTAACTTTCGTTATTGGCACACTACTTTTTGTTATTTACACAATTTGAAAAATTGGACTCGATAAAATGACAAGTCTTGTTCATCACATGTTTTAACTTTCTTTGCCCTCTTTTTACTAATCTTGTTTTTCTTTTCATATTAAAAATTCCTTTTGGTTCCCTTGTTATACAATGATGATCTCTCTCTCTCTCTCTAAATAAATGAGTGATATTTTTTAAATGAATGAATCAACAAATAAAACACGATATATTAACTAGTGATCTAATCATTTTTTTAATTAATTAAAAGAACATTCAAATAAAAAGAGTGAGAGAAACAAGATTATATTGTTTCGAGATTTTTGTACTTGTAGTTTTATGCTACTTAAACTCCCAAATAAGTAACAAACAACTTTCGACCATAGGCAAATCATTTATAATAACCTCTAACAAATATAACCCAACATTAACATACAAATTAGTGCTTGTATTTTGTCAAATTATCTATTTTAGTTCTATAAGTTATTTGTTTTATGTTTAAGTTCTATTTTTTTAAACTATGTTTAATCAAGTGTTTCTTTTTTTCAAAAATACCCCATTGATCACCGATCTTGAAGATTTTAATAATGATATTTGCAAATTTTGAAAACACTTTGGTTAATCATTCAAGTAAGTATAGTCAAGTAGAAAAAACAAAATATGTGAACTCAAATAAATTTTTAATCAAGTACACACTAGAATTATGATTACCTCATTCAAATTCTTATACAATCACTATCAATTTTTATTTTATTTTATCAATTTATAGAAGTCTTCGATTAAAATAGGGAAATGCTTTTTTTTATACATAACTAATGTACAAATCATGAACAACATAATTAAAATAACTTGTCAAAAGAAAAATTCTCATTAGACAAAAATGAGTAATAGCTTTATTGTCTAAATATACTAGGATGATTGTGGTCTTTTTTAATTGTACAAACAACTCTTTTAGTCAAACAATTTACAACCAATATTAGTTTTTTTTTTTAATAATAATTTTCATCTTTACAAAAAATAAAATGATGAATTTGCCTTATTTCTTTTTCTTTTTCTCGATCTTCAAAATGTCAAGTACCAAAAAAAAAAAAAAAAGCCTATTTTGCTAACCGAAACCATTTAACTATCAACAAAGATGAAAAAGGAAAATTATAGACAAAATCATTCCATAATAAATAAAACACATAATCACATCCCACCAACTCCGTTACCCATCTCATATGACGAAGATTCTTATACTTCACAACGTTATCGAAGAACAACTTCAAACATACTCACTCTAGTTATATTAATTTTACCTTTTTAGATTGGAAAGTTACAATAACTAATGACTATAAGAGAATATGTTCTGTTAGAATATTTTTTTATCAAAATATCAAAAACTATGTTAATTATTAAAAAAATGCATTTCACAAATAGTACAATAATATTGTTTTGAAACTCGTTGCCAAATAATTTATTTCTAATATTCTCAATAGAAGGGTCTTTCAAAGGTCAATTTTTTTTATTTTTTTTACCGTTCAAGCTTTTACTTGTTCTTGGTTAAAGCAATTGCCGCCGATGCTATAGATCGATAGTAGGGGATTGACTAGCTGGAACAAATTTATATATAAATAAGATCATTATCTAATCTATTTTTATATTCTAAAATGAATCAATTATATTTTTATATTTTAAATGAGCTTTTCATTTGTCCTTTCAATGAATATTTCAGCCAAAACAAAAAATATTATGTGACTTGCACTTGACTTTTTTTTGCGAAAATACATTTAAAAAATGTGACTTGCACATATTCAATCGAGGAGCTTTTTTTAAAAAAAAATAGTCATGTGCAATTCACTTGATTTTTTTAATAAAAATTTGGCTAGAAAAAAAGTCATCAAAATGATATCTATGTGAAATTCATTTAAAATACAAAAATATAATTAATTTAATTTAAGATATAATGATATTAATCACTAATTTTATTATAGATTGACTACGTCATTACCCCCTTCCCTCCACCCCCCACCACCAAAAAAAAAAAAAGAGTATAGTTGAGGTTAAGAAAGAGTTGACTACCAATGCTAATGGTTCGACTAATAATATAATGCCTAACCTTAGAAGGTATGGTTTGAAGGAGAAAGTACACCAAGCGATGCCATCAAACCTAACACTACAGGATCACTTACTAAACATAAATAGTGCTTTAAATTTTTGGCTTTAGATCATATTGCTTATGAGTATCCAAACCAAAGGATTGTTACTTTGGTGGAGGAGGTCGAAGTTGAGTATGAGTTTGAGGAGGAACAACTTGAGCTGAATAACCACAAGGAAGAAGTCATGACTACCGATGATGAGGGTGAAACTTATGTTGATCATGAAGAAGTACTTATGATGCATAAAATTGATAAGAAAGAGGTTGTTGACTTAAAGAATGAATGAAAAAGAACCAACATCTAAAAAGGCCTTGGCAATTTGATCGAATAGTCATTCATTATAGATAAGAAAATACCTACACACTAACACTTAACGAAAAGAGGTTCACTTTGATGCCAAAAAGATATGAAGAATTAAATTATCAATAGAGTTCTTAAGTTGAGTCTTATGAATCTTCTTATTATATAGAAAATTTATTGTAGGTATGCAATCTATTAATTCGAGTGTGTTGCGTGATGATACTTTGTATTTGAGCATAATGTACATGGTGAAGTTTTGAGTTTTGTTGATTGGAACTCACCATCAATCTTTGATAAGTATGATGATAATGATTTATATGTTTTTTAGACTATTGATATTGGATTAAATGAAGAAATTACTATCATCCATCATGAAAAAGAGATGCATGGTGATATGTTTAGAGTATCGAGGGAATAAGTTGTTATGGATGGTACAATTAAAGATATTAAAACTTTCATGGGTAGTATAGTTAAGCTAAGAGATGTTGAGGGCAATAAGGGGAGCTTGAGGACTACTTTGAATAGAAGAACTAAAGTATGAGTTGTTGCCATAAGGAATCAAGAGGATTTGATCGTAACTAATAAAGGTTATTATTGTGGAAGATCAAGCTAACTTTGAAGTTGTTGTTAAGGCAAAGAACGCTGATTTTAGGGCTATCACCATGGAAAGAGTGGCTGAAGTTGCTACTACAAAAAAAGGAAGAATACATGGGGTTTATGCTAGAGTTGTTGAGTTTGTCGAAGTGAAGACTAATGCCAACCGTGCCAATAATTCAACACCTGGAAAAGTAATGGGTTAAAGTCATTAAATTTTGAACAAAAACAACTCACAATAAAGGAGACATGGTATGGGTAAGCCTTAAAAAAAAGAAAAAAGAAATTTTCCAAGAGAAGGTTTGTCAAACTTGAAGACATAAAAGGTTCATTCCATATAGTGAAAAATGGGTAAACATACATGCAAGGTCGACCTACCTATATATTACTTAGTTTTAGGAACATTTAAAGAAACCGATCTTTCTTCTTACCATGGTAAAGAAGATAAAGATAAAGACATCAATGTTGAGTTTTTTTTTAACATGAGAAGCATGATATAGGAGTGTCTTCTCAACAAATATGGTCAAATGGTCTACCTTTTGAATCTACCTAAACATGATTGAATGTTTAAGCGCACATGGCTATCGGGGACAAAGTTAATCAAAAGCTTATCATTATAAGCTACCTCTATCATCTTAGTTAGTTACAATCTTAGGTGAGTTTGAAGGCATTGCTTCCCTATGTGTTTAAATATTTCTAGTAACTTGAACTTTTTCAAAATCACAATATTGGAGTTTAGACATCAATTTACATTCAATAGAGGGTCATATATATCCATGCCCTAGATCACCCTCAATCTTTCTTTTATAGTAGTGAACTTCTCCTCTTGGACCATAGAGACCCTTTTGTCTTTTGCCATCTCATTCATAGTCGGATCTACAATTGAAATTACTAATGCTTATAAGTTAAGAAGGAGCACAATGGTTAGGCCGGGAGCTTTAGAAGGATTTGGCTCACACGTACCCTTAGGGATAATGGGGTTGATAAGGTTTACAATACCTACGAGTCTCTCAATTATGCATGAAAAAAGATGATACAAGGGTCGTCATTTGGATGGTAGGAATTGATGCATCAATGAACATCTCTAAGGGAACAAAGGACTAACCCATCTCTCATAGAAGAGGTGCTTCAACAAAAGTGCGAACAAGTAGACTTTGCTTAAGTAAGGTGGCAAGCTTGAAAACCTTTTTTTTTTAATGCCTTTTATCTCCTTATGGTGGTTTTCCTCAAGTTGAGATCTTTTTTTGTTGTCTATTTTTTTTGCTTTGATCTTTTATTGTCAATTTGTAGGGAAAGTATAACCTTGGCAGGATGACCTATGTTTCTACTCAAAAGTAAGAAATAACAAAAGCAAACAAGACATAAATAATAATAAAAATATAAACAATACTTAAGGATGGATATGGAGTAGCCTTCTTGTAGGGGGTGATAAGAGGAATTTAGGATAAATAAGTGAGATAGAGCTAAATTCAAACTAGAAAATGGATCTTTAAATGGCCGAACCTCTTCCTTTATGCCTTTTCTCTTTTGTATTTCCACTCTTGGTTTGATTTCCCTTCAAAAATCTCTTTCTTTTTTCCTCTCATCTCGTTATCTTTTCTTCTCTCTAGTTTTTCTTTTCTTTTCTTTTTTTCCTTGCAATTTTCTCCCAAAAGCCAAAAGCTTCCTCATTTTCCTTTTTTTTTTTTTTTTTTTTTAGCTCTGTTTATACATTCCTCCCTCCCCTTTATTTTTAGCCTTTGATCTTTATTTGAGTAATCATATCCCATCATTTTGAATTGCTAAAGAGGCTCATTCTTTGGTTGTTTTACTAAGACATGCTTTATTTCTCTTTATTTTTGTTTTAGCCTCTTTTAGAGTGTGAATAAGGAATAAGGATGCGAGTTAGAAGGGTTTTTTTGGTGAGTTAGAAATGAAGAAAGGTTATAATACATGTCTAGCTAGTTAGGAGGTTATCCTTTTGATTGATTCGAATGCTAGCAAGGCTAACATTTGTTTGAGGGAGGTGGTTGCTAGGAAAGATGATGAATAAGAGAGAGGAAAAAGGTTTTGGCATATAACAAATTCAAACTCAAAATGACGCCATTTGGGAATTTTTTATGTTTAAGTTGATCCTTAACTTTGCACACCTTTTTCTATTTTGCTCTCCTTTTTCTCTTTTTCTTTTCAATCATGTTGTTTGATTTGTGACCATTTGATGTCTATTCTTTCTTTCTTTCTTTCTTTCTTTTTTCCCAATTGGATCCTTATTTCTTTTTATTTCCTCCCCTCAATTTTCTTTAATTCTACTTCGACCCCCACTTTTTTTTAAAAAATAATTACTCTTAATTTCGTCTAGATTTTAATTCATTTTCTTTTCTTTTTCTTTTTCATTTTCAATTTATTTATTTTTTCCTTCATTATTGATCCTCCGGAAATAATAGAAACCAACCCATCTATTAAGTTCACTTCTTTTCTTTTCTTTTTTAAAAAAAGGAAAAGAAGTTTAAATAGAGATTTGTTGGTTTGAAAATTTTTGAAATGCTAGTATTACTTAGGAAAAATATCTAATTTCTTTCTTTTTTTTTTTTTGAAAATTTGAAATTTGAAAACTTCGTAAAAATAAAAATAGATAATGAAAATAAGGAATAAAAAAAAATCTTAATTGGGTTAATCTCTCGACAATATTTGATTTCTTCTTGATTTTGGTAAAATATAGATGATACCTAATCGTCAAATTTGGTCTAAAATAAATTTTTTTCATAATTTCTATGGAAAATTGAGAATTATTTTTACTATGTTGTTTTGTTGTTAATCGTAGGTAATGGTGGGTTTTGGACCAAAAAACGGACAAGATTCATAAACACTCTTTAGAGATCTAAATCGAAAAAACGCTCAACGATACAATAATGGTTATATATATATATATAACTCATTAAATTTTTTTGATTGATTATTTATTTTTAATATAGTACTTATAATATATCACTCATACTAATAAGTAAATTAAAACCCCGCCTCTAATTAAGAAAAATACCATTTTTGGTAATATTATTAATTCTAAAAAAATAGACTATTTTTAAGAAAGAATCCTAAAATATAGGTTAATCAATTTTTTTTTCTTATTTATAGACCACATAACATCACAAATAACATAAAATAAGCTAAATAAATCATTGCAAAACTATATAGTACTACATTAGTACTTTATTTTGTCCATGTATTAAAACTCAAAAATAATTAAATTACATCAAATTATTAAATTGAATCTTTAATTATTTTTTACAAGGTATTTTTTTGGGTATTTTTTTTTCACTCACTTGAAAAACACTAATAATGTTAATAAATACTATTTTTTAAAATATAAATAAGTTGTGGAAATTTTTGTTCATATATGTATTATAAATTTATATTCATGTCATATATGATTTAAAATAAAAAAATTTCATAATAATATATTGTTAAGTGAAATTTTTTTTAGTATGTAATTATTATATGTAAGAGTAATACATATGTATTCTAACTATTAATTACTAAAGTTTAAAAGATACTTTAATTTATGTCCCTAATTTTACTTTAGTCCAGTTAAAGATGATTTTATATGATTCAAAAATTAAACAAATTAATTAAATTTTAATCTTAAAAAATTATGTAAAATTAATTGAAAAAATATTTTTAATTAAAAATTTAAATTTATTCTTTTATTAATAATTTTAAATAATCTATTAAAAGTTAGAAAAATACTATGCATTAATTAAATAAAACACGTGATTTTGAGGTGTTAAGAATCAAGTATTTATTGTATGTAATGCATGTATGGGCCTCAGCCTGAATCCTGACATAGCCGAAGCCCGTAAGTAACAGCCTATCTTCACTTTACTATAAATACTTATAGAAAACCGACAGTTCTTCAGAAGTAAAAAACAATGAGTTGTGGCAGTAGAAGCTCTACCAGCCAAGAGAAGAAGAAGAAGCAGCAGCAGCAGGAAGTTTGCTGCTTATCACACCTGTTTTTTAAAGCAGCAACTCAAAAGCCTCAAAAAATCGCTGTAATTCATGCAGCAGCACCATCATCAACTTTTGCTTCTGCTTCTGGTGGTCTCCAAATCCCAAGAGAACGAATCACTTGTACTACTCCGATTTATAAAGGAGACCAATGTTTCACTTTTGCTGATGTGTTCAACTCCGTTGGTTCCCTCACCTCTCGCCTCCGCTCCATTCTTGATGGTGCCGATGATCACCACCTTATCAAGCCGCAATCCCCTACAGGTAATTATCTTTTTTTTTTTTAAAGAAATATTGAAAATTAAAGAAATTAAAGAATTTAATAGGCAAGAAATGGAATTAAAATTGAATTCACTATTTTTTTTTCTTTTTCACTGAATTTTGATGTTTAGTTGTTTAATATTTCTAGGTAAAGCTAATTATCCTAGCGAGAAACAAGCCGAGACTGCGAATGCTTGTTGCCCGAAAATACTGGGCATATACATGCCACCTTCAGTGGAATACATAATTTCTGTTTTCTCAATTTTGAGGTCTGGAGAAGCTTTCTTGCCTATTGATCCATCGTGGCCGAGAGATAGAGTATTGTCAGTTGTTTCTTCGGCAAATGTGGAGCTTATAATTACTTCTCGATCATCATTTGGTAAAGGTGGTGATGAGGATATTAATGAAGAAGATTGGCTTGTAAATCTTATTGGTTGTCCTGTCTTATGTTTTTCTATGGAAGAGAGTGAGTGTAGTGGTCCGTTGGAGTTAGCTTGGCCTTGTGAAAATGAGAAAGAGAGATTGTTCTGTTATTTGATGTACACGTCTGGATCGACCGGGAAGCCTAAAGGCGTGTGCGGGACAGAAAAAGGTAAGCGGTTAGTTTAGTTTGCTATTTGCCATATAAAAAGCTGCAGTCTATTGTCTGCATTTGACTTTAATGGTTGCATTGTTCTGCTGCATATGAATCAGATGGAAGATTTTACCCTATAAAATGTGGAGCTTCTTTTGATATTGTTTATTAACGTCAGATTTTGAAGATCTCTTTGTTACCGTAGCACATTCAAAATGAAATTTCCGCCGTCCTATTAAGTGCATGCCAAACAGTGTTACCAGTTTAAGTCCCCCCACAAGGATTGCTTTTAAGAGTTCCAAAAGGTTTATCATACTTCGAGGCCATTTATTTGTAATCTTAGGATGCAAGCTTATGCCTATAGCTGCATAATCTTTCCACTTTGGCTGCCTGCAGCTTAACCCTTAGCATGAGACCATGGTAAAGAGAAAACATGGAAAGTTCTTAATGTTGCATGTACTGAGCTTACTCTTGGTTTTATTTTATTCAATTCATTGTTTTTTTATGTATTTTATTGATTTCTTTTGTGGATCCCGACTAAATGTTATAATTAATTAATGGACTCCTTTATACTGACCTGATATTTGTCTTCAAGGGAGGCATTGACCTGCTTAATTGTGGGGAGTATTGTCTTTAGTTATACAATAGGTAACTTTTTTGGTTTGGAAAAACTGCTTATTTATGAGAAAGACATTTTCTGTTTTGCCGCTTGAAGATGATTGGACAACCTCTCTCTCTCGGACAGCTCCTTGTAGTCTTTGCTTGTTTTCTCATGTCTTTGCAAACATTAGAGTTTCTATACTTGATTGTTTTGAAAAATAAGTAAACCACAGCTTCATATCCTTTTCTTTTTAGTTCTTTGCTATTCTTGCTTTGGGCTTCACAATAAGGAGTAGCTCTCTCCCTCTCTTATCATCTCCCGATAGTGAGAAGAATTCTATCCTAGATCGCTTGTAAACTTTACAGATAAGCTGATGATGAGTGCATTCTGATCAATTGCTCACTTCCTTAACTTAGTTTTCTTTTTAGTTTTATAAGTTTTGATGATGTCATCTCCTTGTATTTCTTGTAAGGCCTCTTAAATCGCTTTTGGTGGATGCAAGAATTGTATCCCCTGCATGGAGAGGAAGCTCTATTATTCAAAACATCGATAAGCTTTATCGACCACCTGCAAGAATTCCTCAGTGCTATGCTTACGACAAGTACACTGGTTATACCTCCTTTCCATGAGCTGAAAGAGTATCCATTTTCTCTTGTCAACTTTCTACAGGTACACTTGCTTATTAAGGTTTTTAGTATTTCTTTAAGCGTTTTCCTTTGTTTATTGAGGTTTCCCATTTAAAATTCAGTTAGTTTTGTGCGGTGATCTTCTTAAAAAATTATTTTATTTAAGAGTCAAATTTCATTTTAATTTTAAAGAACATCAAGTCTTTTTTTCCTATAATTGTTTCTTTTTCTGTCAGAATTATAAACACTTTTGTTTCTCTTGCTTTTTATTGGATCTCACATGAAGTTTTACTTTTGTCATTAAAACTGAGAACTGCTTTTGCTTCCTGACAGCCCTTGTAAATTCCAAAATTTTTCCTCAAAATGATGGATGCTTTTTTTCATCTGTGGGATTCAACTGGAAAACTTAAACTTGCAGACCATTGAAGATCCAATCAGAATTGAGAACTAATTTAAATGCTCAAACTTTTTGTGTTTAACTATTACTGGACTATGATATGAAAGAGCCTTCTTTCATCTGCAATTATCATCTATATATCGGCACAATTTCTTTTCTCAAAATATGGAAGTTTTCATTATTTTCTTTTTTCTCTCGTTTCATTAAATTTTAGCCTTACTAAGCTCCATGCTTGTGTGCATGTAGTGGGACCCCTGGTGCTGGTATTCACCACAATCTTGTTATTCCCTCACAGAGGCTGTGTTTATGAGTACATTGTGCGCTATCTTTTGTAGGACATCTTCAGCATTGTTGTAGGAGATCTTCAGTCATTGCCTGTAGCTATCTATGCAATGCCAAGCTCTTACTTTAGAAATATATTGCATGTCGATTTGAAGAGTCTGGACTCTGAAGTTGGTTTAAGTCATGTGCACTTGTACATTCCCACATGCAGATGGATAAGACACAAGGTCTATTTACACGAGTCAAACAATTCGTTATACGGTGGAAGTTTCTGCTTTGAATAACTCGTACAGTGGGACATTCAGAATGTTCATTCCACATGTGCTTTTGACTTTCACTATTTTTATTTTTTTTGGTAAATTGGAAGCGATGAATATTTTTTTTTCTTTTTACTTTTGGTACTTATTTGTCTTAAAGTTACTGTTTTAATTTAATTTGTGACGAGTATATAAATTATTGCTGTAGGCCTACTCTATAAATAGACTTACAACTGTCCCTTCACTGATGAGAGCAATCCTTCCTGTTTTGCAAAGGCAACGTAGCGCGCAGATTCAGACTTCATTGAAATTGCTAGTACTAAGTGGTGAAGTTCTTTCTCTGTCCTTATGGGATGCGCTTTCTACTTTACTACCCAGGACCTCAATTTTGAACTTATATGGGAGTACTGAGGTGAGCAATCTAGAGTCCACTTTACTTTTGTTGTCCAGATCAATAAGTTCAATCTTACATATATTATCCATGTTCTCTGTAAATGCTTGACATTTAATAATAGAATTGTAGTTTATGTTTTGATACTGATGCTTCTTCCTGGTTGCACTTTTTTCCCTTTTCTAATACTGTTAATACTAAGATGAATTGTGCTACTATAGGATGCCTGATGCAGGAGCTTTTTTTAGGATTTATTTTATTATATTTCTAATATTAGGGTTACTTAATTAATCTAGGGTCATGTGATTAGCATGTAACTTTTTAAAGTATTTCCTTTATAGGCTAAGTAATTTTACTTGGGAATTAAGACCAGGAATCCTTTTCCTACGAGGATAGGGCTTAAACTAATATAAATAGGCTACTAGGGTTACTTTGTAGTAGTTCTTTGTTATTTTATCAATCTATTCAGATTTTAGAGGTTTTTATGAACCCTAAACCCTAATTATATTGTTCCAGCTTCAATTGATACTAATTTTAGCCAATTAGTTTACTGTAACTTCTGTTTTCTACTATTTTCCTCTTTCCACTATTTCAATACCAGTGGCTCTGGTTATATTAATGGTTTGTTAATGGTTTGTCAATCATGTTTTTGTATGGTTGCAAGTATTGTGTTGTACTCATCCTTAATGAATATTGCAGTTTGTTTTATACTGCTAACAAATTCTGGAATTTAGGTAGCTGGCGACTGTACTTATTTTGATTGCAAGAGGTTGCCCATGATTTTGGAGACAGAGGCACTAACAAGTGTTCCAATTGGGGTGCCTATTTCTAACTGTGATGTTGCTCTAGTTTGTGAATCTGATACATCTAATAAGGGAGAGATATATGTTGGTGGTATCTGTGTTTCTAATGGTTACTATTCTGAGTCAACTGTAACATCTTTTGACTCTGCAAAACTACACATGAACAACATCTGTAACTGTTCTGTGGGTAACTGTGGATGCCAAGCTTATTATAGAACTGGTGATTTTGCCCGAAGGCTTCAAAATGGTGACTTAGTATTTTTGGGAAGAACTGATCGAACTATTAAAATCAATGGACAACGCATAGTTCTAGAGGAGATTGAAAATATACTCAGGGGGCATCCTGATGTTGTTGATGCTACTGTCATTTCCCGTGAAGGTCCAGGGGAGCTTTTGCTTCTTGATGCATTTTTGTTGTTAAAAGAGAAAGAAAAATCTGAGGATCTTTTTGTCAGGTCTTCAATAAGAGAGTGGATGGTTGGCAAAGTTCCATTAGCAATGGTTCCCAATCGCTTTGTGTTCACAAAATCGTTGCCCATGTCTTCCACTGGAAAAACTGATTATGGTTTATTAGCAAGTTCAAATTTTCTCAACATGCACGTCCAAGATGAGATTGGCGATCACAAGACTAGTGATCTCCTGCAAATTATCAAAAAGGTATGCACTGAATTTGCACGATGATTTTTAACCTTTTGACATGTCTATATTTCCTAGAAAATGCTACTTTGGTGGCTTTAGTATGTTCCAAATTTAGATGGTACAAGGACTAATTGTTTTTTATATGATGAAGTACTTACTTGGTTGTCATGGATTAGTGAATCCTTACGAACTGCAATGCAAAGCTTTTTGAAGCAAAGGTTATAAAATTACGAGGACAATGCTCCCTCCAATTCAAATAGATTGTCCTACTTTATTTCCATCTGTCCCAAAATATATATCCACTTTTATAAGGGTTCATTGAACTTTACTTTTCTGCCATGGCATTTATCTGAAACTGGATTCTTTATCCAGTACCTTTCAAGAGTCATTTTTAAAAGTTCTGGTTATATGATTTGGCGCAACATTTACTATCTTAGTAGAAAAGGCTCTCTTTTTGGGAGAGAGGGAGTACATTTCATTCATGGTAATTGGTTAAAGGCAGTTTCAGATGACCATCTACTAATGAACCCATGTAACATGTGTATGCTCTGCCACTGTACATTTGCTCCAAAAATTCAAAATATGTTACCATTCAATGTTGGTTTGAATTATAACAAAAATTGTCCAGTTGCTTATTTCTCTAGCATCCTTTTTGGTTTTTGTGGAGTATGCCTTGTACACCTATTTGGGAATCAATATAATTTTCAGCCATAACTTGTAGTATTATGTCAGACGAGAGCCAGTTTTTCTTGTTAACCAATTATTTGAACCACAGAATTTATTTTGGTTTAAGTTTTCTTTAAAGCAACAGGATATTAATAATTCTCTTAAAATAAAGCTGCCCAAAGATGGGTTGATGCACAAATTTTAATCCCATTGACTCCCTCGTTTTTGTTCCTTAGAAGCTTTAATGCTTGCATAATGAAAAGATAAGGGACTTTCTAGCTTATTGGAATTTGATGCAATGCTAAATCAATTCCCTGCCCTCCACCTCCCTTACCTTGGTGAAGGCTAACTATCCTCGTTTAGCATCAGAGACACGGTTTTTAGATGCATTGGCAGTGTTTGAACTATTCAGATGTGATTATATTTAATAATCCTGGACTTCTTGGAACAATTCAGATGTTATTAATATTCAATATTCTGGCACATTTTGGAATATGCCAATCATTCTAGTGGGCTAGTAAATAAAGTATCTTTAATATTTAACGTCTGGTTATCTTTAGACCTTATTAACCATGGCCCATGATTGTAACAAAATGATGAATATGTATACAGGCATTTTGTGATGGTCTGATGGTTGAAGAGGTTTCTTGTGATGATGATTTCTTTGCAATAGGTGGTAATTCCATTTCTGCAGCACATGTTTCCTATAATTTAGGGATCAATATGAGATTGCTTTATAACTTCCCTACTCCCTCTAAGCTTCATGCTGCTCTTCTAGAGAAAAAGGAATCTTGCTGCGTAGAATTGAGAATTGATGCTAATTCACAATTGAAGCCAAAAGAAGATAACTCAGTCTCAGATATGGCATGTTCTGTTAATCCTACAACTCCTACTGTTCCGAGTCTGAGATCAATGAAGCGGCTGTCAGAAAGTCCTCATCAAAATAATGACGATCATACTGTTGCATCTAAACGCTTTAAGGAAGATCTGGATATATATATTTCTTCTACATGGGTTAATCCTATTGATGGACAGCCTTTGTCTAGTTCAATATCAATGTCGTGTTCATTCAGCCGGTGCAACACTGTTATGTATGATGGGGATTGCAGGTTGAGCAAATCACATCAAGTTAATCAGTTGGCAAAAGTTCCGAGAAATGGAAAAGGTTCTAGTATGCATGAATTATGGAAGGTGTACATGGAGTCTTGTGTAGATGCATCGCCACTGGTTGTGGTCAAACAGCAGGATGTCTATCTTTTCATCGGATCTCATTCACACAAATTTGTTTGTGTTAATGCCCTAAGGTAAAGACCATTTTCTGGCTCCTGAATGAAATTATATCTATTGGTGACAATTCTCATCTCTATTTTTAACTGAAACCATTATTATTTGAAGATCATGATATATTGTTTGATGGATAATAGCTGTATAAAAGCAGTCGAAGAACTCCTTAGGATTGGTTTGTGGCTTTAAAGTCTGTTAAAGGCTATTAAATTTTTGTGGAGGGTTATGGTAATGTGATTGGTTTGATTGAAATAATACAAGAAAACGATTCGTCTGGGCTGTTGCTGATGCTGGTGGAGGTCTAGATCGGTATGCTTAAACACTAATTCAAGATATCAGGGCCACTATTTATAAGGATTTCAAAAATGGGTTCTTGAAGGTTTCTTGGATGCAAAATCGAATTTAGTTTGAGATTGGTTATGCAATCCTGATGAAAGAATCTTTGTTTAAAAATGTTGCATGAAGAAAAGCATCCATGCACCCCACATGGCCTACTATTACTACTACTACTACTACTCTTTTGGTCGAGATACATCTCGAAGTCCATAAGTTGACATTCACATCTATGCTGGTGCTTCTGATCTCATTCTTTCTATCAGGTCAATTATGTATGAGTTATGTTTACTTATTAAGAAATCTAGACTTGTTCCTTTTTCAGATTGGGTAGGTTCCACCTAATTAACTTTGATGAAGTTAGGGGGAACCAGAAAGTGAGTGCTATGAACTTAGAGCATTCTTAATATGGAAGCTGACCCATCTTTGCAACTTCTCTTCATTTTTAATATTTCCCCAAGTTATCTATTAGCAGTGCTTAATGCTTGACATGGTTGGTGTTGCTGCTCTGTGATATACAGATCATCATCATCTCTGCTCTCTCTCTCTCTATCTCTCTATCTCTCTTGCAACTTCTCTGCATTTTTAATATTCCCCAAGTTATCTATTAGCAGTGCTTAATGCTTGACATAGTTGGTGGCCCCCCCCCCTCTCTCTCTCTCTCCTTCTGCATATGTGCGTGTCCATGTTATAAGAGCAGAATCCTGGAAAATCTCACTTTTTATATGCACAATGCAAGAGTTAGTGGTAGCATGAACTGTCGTTTTTTTTCTGACTCGAAGTGTGAAGTGTCGATTTTCTGACTCAAGTGTTGTACCATAATATAATTTGGTGTAGTGGCTCTGTCCAGTGGGAAGTCAAACTAGAGGGACGAATTGAAAGTTCTGCAGCAGTTGTTGGGGATTTTTCGCAGGTTCTTCTTACTGTGTATAATTTACCATGTTGTTTCATCATCTGCTCTATTGCAGGGGCTTTTTTAATCTTTTCAATTTGTGATGTGTTGTCAGGTTGTGGTTGGATGCTATAGAGGGAAAATATATTTTCTTGATTTTCTCCATGGCAACATTTGTTGGACTTTCAAAACATGTGGTGAGGTATGATGATAAAATAACCATGTTATGCCCTCCATCCCCCTTTGTTAATGTGCTTCTTCTTGGTTCATTTTATTTTTTGATGCAGTTTAGTTATTTTTCCTTTGGGTTCTCTTCAATTTTAAGAACTTTTTTATATGGTTGATATTATTCAAACAATGCTGAATATTAGATGAGATACCACATGGATGAACCTTTTGATATTCTGAAAAATGCTTATCATGCAATCTGGATAATATTGTGTCATACCATGCCCTTCCCAACAATGTCAAAAGAAACATAGACGACTAATAGGACTAAGAAAAAAATTTCCGGAGCAAAATTATTGTGTTGAAAATTTTGATTGGGAAAAATGGTTTATTATTGGAGTTCAGAATTATGTTGGGCAACTTAGTTTTTGCAGAAGTCTTTCCGTTCTATGTTAATGAGGATTGCTTGGTGTTCCTCTATCTATTTCATTTGAAAAGAAAGAAATCAGACGGTATTAAGGCTTCAGGATACTAAGTTTCTGCAGGAAGCAATAAATAATCCCAAGTTGGCAAGATTTTGCGATCTTTGGAACTTTTGTGAAGCCTTTTTTTTTTTTTTTTTTTGGCTGTTGTAACTCTTGTAAAAAGCTTCAACCTATTTTTGGTTGGTTTTTGACCTATGAAATTCAATCATTCATCAAAAAGGGGGGGGAAAATTAATTTTGAAAATTACTGAATTATCAGTTGTAGGTCTCCATCTGCTAAAAGCTTCAATATTGGATCGAGTCAACATTCTGCTGAATGTTTTACAATTTCACAACTTTCAATTCCTTTTAATGTATCTTCTAAACTTTGATAGTTCTAGTCTGAACTATTTTTTCTTCTTTTTCTTCAACTTAATGATTCTCCATGATATTACATCTTGTGTGCCTGTTGTTTTAACTACTAAATAATAAACTAAATAATACTAAATCTAGAATAATCATACGACATTAAAGTTTATTTCCCATTGTTGTCTTCATTGCCAATCACATATCGTTTAAAAGTTTTGTTTGTCTTGCTCATGATGTTAATTTCGTTCAACATTTTGAAGGTGAAGTGCCAGCCAGTGGTGGACATACACAGACAGTTAATCTGGTAAATTGTTTGGGTTCTCATCATCTTTCTGTCAGTGGACATTATTATTCTTTCTGTTGATTTAACTGTAGCAGATAGAATTTTGTTTCTGAGGTAGTGGTATGCAAGGAATACTGTCTTTCTTCTCTTACATTTTACTCATATAGATGCATATCACTGACCATCGTGTGAACTCATCGTTTAAGTTAGGCTTGAAATACTAAGCATCCCACAAATACAGTTGCCTTATTGGCACTTGATCAACTTCAGAAACTAGAATCAGAATTTGGAAGAAAGTAGTAGTCATATAGGAAATAATTGATGAGTGAAGGAGAACAGGGGATGACATACCCTAAATTAGTTTTAGAGAAAAGAAATGTGAAGACAAAAGAGAGCAGATTAAGGTGTTTGATTTTTTATTTTAATTATTATTATTATTATCATTTTTACTTTCGCAAAATTGTTCAACTGCCTACAACTGAACATGAGCATTTATACAGGCTTAATTTCTAAATCATGCTGATGATTCTTCAAATAATACAATGGGACCATAATTATTTAAATTTTCCCAAAAAGTCACCTGGTGTAGTCTTAAACTTACCCGTAAATGATAGATTAGTAATAAAATATTCTTAAATTATTGATCAAGAAGATAAATGGAAAAGAAATTTGACAAATAAGAAGTTTAAGGATATTTGTCTTCCAAGGTAATGTTGTGGGATAAAAGTGTCTTCCTGGTTTCTTTATAGTGCATGATTCCAATGTTGTATCAAGGATTTTCTTTATCGGATGTTCACCAGGGTTGGAAGGTTTTATTAATTTGATTGTTTCCTCCCCTTTTAATGAAACAGTATTCATGTTTCTTCTTCTTACTCGGACTTTTTGCACTAGAAAGTAAGTCAACGAAACTTCTGCTTTCCTGGAACGCATGACCATAATTATGGCACCTCACATCCTAAAGCATATTGCTTAAACTCATAAACTGGTCACTGAAGGATCTATGATTATGCATTGTTTTGATCCTGAATTTCCTGGTTCTTTGATTGGAAAACTTCTATGAAAATGCTCTGAATGATTGAAAATTTTCGTCTAAAGTCCTTGAACTCCAAATATATTTTATATGACTTCCACTATGTAAATATGGCCAACAGAATCAATGCAAAGCATGACACTGCTCTGTATGCTGCAAATAAGTTGGGTTTGATTTTGTAGTATTATTGTTATATTGTTAAAAGATATTTGATTGGAAACAATTTGGAAGACATAATTCTTCTTAACAAAGAATTGATCTCTGTAACAAAACATTTGCAGGTGTGGCTCGCATGACCATAATTTATATGCGCTTGACTACAGAAATCATTGCTGTATTTATAAGCTCTCATGTGGCGGGAGTATATATGGGTCTCCTGCAATTGATGAGGTGAATCTAGAATTCAATTTATTTGTAAATGAGCTTCTTATTTGTTTCTGCATGTAGAAACAATGTGAAACATAATGCATGATATGCTTGTGTTCATTCTGATTATGGTTGCCTTTATAAAGGTTCTCTCATTGCACAGTATACTACTATTTTTCATTCATTTTAATCTGTTTCTGCAATTTTGTTTGGCAGATATTATCTTCGTCTTCAGTTTTGTTTTAATTTGGTTTTCTCATCTTACAACATTTATGTTCACCATGTTCTTTACAGTATTTTTTTTTTTAAGGGAATGGTATCAAAACCAGAAAACCAAATGGAAGTTTTTGCTATAATATATTTGTAAATTGTTGAAATTAATGAACTATAGATATTTGGAACTCTTGATCTCATGTCGTAATAAATCCATATACATTAACTGTTTTGTTTCCTTGCATTTTTGGAAAGTAATTTTCTCCCATCTGTTAAAGGTTGAAGAACTACCAAAGGAGCATCATAATCTGGTCCTACGTTGTTACATCCCTGACCTGTGTCATGAGCCATTTTTTTTATTGCAACAGATTATACAAGATAAAAATATTTAGTTGATTCAAAATACTTTGTTGAGACAACAACACGACTAATCGTTTTCATTGCACCCCATCTATAACAATTAGGATCCTGTTTCCTTCCTTTTTTCTTTTCGGCAAGCATTGAATCTAAAGACCTGCCCCAATCAGAAGATGCGCTTATGTGTCATTAAACTGATGATCATTGCTTTCACATTGTTAAAAGATGATAATCAATATGGAGAATACTGAAATCATCTTACTCTGTCATCCGATTTAATGTGAAATAATTTTCATATAGGTGCACGATAAACTTTATGTGGCATCTACTATTGGCCGGGTGACAGCTATATCAGTAAAGGTGTGCAAATTTTAATTCTCTTCTCTTAGATTTTTTTTTTGTTTTCAATTCCTGAGAAGACAATCTGTTTTTGTTAGAGAGTGATATAAATCATATCTTGGGGCCTTACCTAATAGCTTAAGCTTTTGGGTGAGATGGTCACTCGGACATTGTATCGGAGCCTTAATGACCAAACGATCGTGAGTTCGAATCCTACCACCCTCACTTTCTCTTCTAATTAATTAAGCACAAGGTAGTGTGGGCCTGTGTAAGTTTCAAGCCTAAAGGGCTTTCACTTGAGGGGTGTGTTAGAGAGTAATATAAATCATATCTTGGGGCCTTACCTAACAGCTTAAGCTTTTAGGTGAGATGGTCTTTTAATAGTTTTAATCAAACTTCATCATCTTCACAATAGAACTTGGTTAAATTTATATAAGTGCATGTTCAACATGCCATAAGTCTTCCTTTTTATTTCTTAAACATGCATGCAGGACTGCGCTTTTTGTGAACTAAATTTTACTTGTTTGCTTTCTGCAAGTTAATGGTTATTTGGCTTTGATTTGTAAATGCAGGCTTTACCGTTTGATACTTTATGGAAGCATGAACTAAAAGTCCCAGTGTTTGGGTCACTTTCAGTTTGTTCTTCAAATGGAAATGGTACGTGCATGGTTCAATTGTCTAGTTCTCTGTGAAGTAGTGTTTTGTTATTTATTTTGAATCACTTCATAAATCATCCTTTTGGTACTGTTTTCCCCTTTTTTGTGGGTGCAGTTATTTGTTGTTTAGTGGATGGGAACATTGTTGTATTGGATTTGAGTGGCTCCATTGTTTGGAGGGTAGGCATTTTCAACTTTGCAGTGTCTGAATTCATTCGTTTTTTTTTTTTTTCCTTTTCTTTTTTCTTTTTCATATTAGCTAGCTTGATTCAGAATCAACCTTTGCATGCTCTGCTTTTTCTTTTTCTTTCCAACACTAGTAGGGCCTGATTTGCCCCAAATTTTGAGCAGATTAATTTTACCTGAAGCATCCAAGGAGCTGCAATAACAACCCCAAACAGGCATGTAACTCATAATAGATTTATAAGTTAACAAATATTCTGTTCTCAAACTGAAGTAAGAAAATCTGATTGTAATTTGTGTTTTCCAGTGGGCATTTGTACCAGTTAGATTTCTAGGAAGAGAAGGAATTTTTTCCTCCTTGGAGCTAGATAGTTGGCACGTTGCAGGATTTTCCACAACTCAGATATGGCTACAAAATATATATTTAATTCACGTTCAACATTGACTGGTCAGATTTACCTGCCCCTACCACCCCGACACCCCCCACCCCCCAATCTCATCTCCACTGCATGTGGAGCTAAATAAGTGTTGTGTTGAAAGAGCTGGTCAAATTAGTTAGTAACTCATCGATACTAGCTTAGCTCTTTGGAGATGTCTATATCTTTTTAATAATACAAACAGTTTTTTATTAGTGTTTTCATTTTAGGTTTTTTATTTTCCTATTTGCATATTTGGAAATTCTGTAGTTTAGTTACCTGGTTTTATTACATTCAATTTTTAAGTTGAATATTTTTGAGAATTTGGTATGGATCATACATAGCAGAATTAGACAATTGTACTTATGACACAATATTAGGATACCGACAAATATTTTAAGTTGCCCTAACATCATCTCGAATCTTCAGGCAGATAATTTGCAATTGAGAAGAATTTGTAACCTATAGCCAATTAACTGCTGCAGTCTTGTTTTACTATTCCCTAACTAAAAACGTTGTAGGTTTTTGTTTTATTATTATTATTTTTTTAGTATATTAAAACACGTGAAATAGATATTTCTCCTTCCCATCATGGCTTTGTCTGAACTCTACGGGTGATGATTGTCTTTGTGGCACAAGTTCTGACTCATGTTTCTGAAAATGATTTTCTTCTTCAGTCTAGAATTGGTGGTCCTGTTTTCGCTGGAGCCTGTATATCTTGTGTACTTCCTTCTGAGGTAAAGGCAGTATGTTGATCTTCATTCCTGTACTCAGAAATGTTAATTGTATTTCTGTATTAAGTTCAACTTTGTTTCTGCTACCCATTTAACTTGTCTTCTTATCATGTAAGGAATAAGGAAACAAAGTTGTTTCTACCATTAGCTTTCATGCTTGTGTATCTGATGCACAATATCATAATTTTGAGGATTTAAAAGTTCAGGAATTGGGAATTTGGAGTTTAGATATCTGAAACTTGGGGCTAGGAGGAGAGAAGGTTAAGAGAAGAATGTGGAAAGTGTAAGAACGCTTTAAAACAAAATGTTCAGCAGTAAAAAATTTTATACCCTTTTCAGTATCCTCTTCATGGACTCACAACAAAGAAGCGATAACTTCCATTCACATAAAACATTGAATCACTTCACTTCATTATAGCCCAAAAGTAGAGAAGCCAAAAAAGACATAACATAGCCAGAGCAGCAAATACTGTAGCACCATCACCTTTTTTGTTTTGTTCGTTTTCTTTATTTTTTGATTCTTTAAATAAACTAAATATAGAAAAATAACAGATAAAAACACAAAATAACTAAAAACATTTATGTGTGCCACTGGCACTTGGCTTTATGATCAGATATAGTTGGACCTATATGAATCTAAAAGTCTAGTTTTGGATTTCTAGAGAGGTATTTATATCTAATTATGGAAATGATTGTTTCATGCTTTCTGCTTGAGAAAATCAGAAAATTCTTTGATGTAATGATTCTTAAACAAAAGTGTACAGTTACTTTTCCTGCCATTAGAAACATTTCTGGATGCACATGTTACATTCCAGTAACTCTAGATAGCCTGCTTTGCTTTATGATCTGTTTTGATATGTAGATCCATATTGCTTTCTTTTCTTATGATTTTTTAAATGGTGTAAGCTTCTTCTAATAATCAGTGCACTGGTTTTGAATGCTTTCATAGTGGACATCTTAGAAAACCTTACTAGCAATTAGATAGCATAGGAGGATGCCCCAACAGCAATCTAGTTATCTTTGCATGTCCGATATCTTGAGCATGTCTGACAAAGTATTCACACGCCCATTTACATTTGAGGATAAACATTCAACCAAAACTGCATGATGTTAATGGTTCAAAGGCCTTATACTTCTCCCTTGTGGAATGATGTCAGTTTTGACTAAAACAGTTATTATTTTTTTTTTCAGGTTATTATCTGTATTGTTTATATTAATCCAGGACTTCCCTTGACTAGTGAATTATCAAATATGCATTGCCTATTAAATACATGTTACTGACTTCAAAGTTATATGCTTCCACAGGTTCTGATATGTTCTAGAAATGGATGCGTTTATTCATTTGAAATGGTAAGATCCAGTATATAACTACATATATATTGTGAATATTTGCAGAAAAGTTCATGATTTTGTTGCTGGATATTTCCAACACTGCTTCTGGGATGAGCTCTCTTGTGTTTCTATTTTAAGAGGCCCAATTGCAATCCCTCTTCTTCAGTTAAAGGGTTAGCCTTTTGCTAAGATTACTAGTACATTTGCCAAACATTTGAATTAATAATTTCATTGCAACACATCTCACATGTGCTGTTCTTTGGTGTACCTGGTTGGAGAGGAATGCTAGAATTTTAAAAACCAGTACACTTAGAGATGATTGTTGTAGGATATGATAGTTCCATGGGATTGGGCTGCTCTTGTATGATATTCTTTCTGCTTTCTTCTTTGGGAGGATGCCTTACTCTCCGTCAAGCTTTTGTAGTTCTTTTGCCATTGATACAATGTTCTTGTATCTAGAAAACTGGCACCTCATGTGCTTTATCATTGACAGCCTATCAATATTTTTCTTTTTGTTACACAACTCAATTATCTACTTTATAATGTAAATCAATGTATCGTTTTGATATTAAAATATAAAATTTAGGCTGGAGTAGAATCTTGACACTCAAAATATAAAACATGGCATTTATCTGTAGTGCGACCAACCTGGGTTTTACTTCCATCTCAATGCATTCTCTTCCATTTTCAGCAACATGGTTCTTGGAAGTTGATGTTTTTCTCATGTGATCGATAAATGCAACACTAATTACTATGTGGCATACATTATTAATTGATGTATAAATCTGAAATTTATGTCAAGCTATCATTCGTAGTTAATTTGGTTCATTACATAATGAGCATGTGATCTTTGAAAAACTTAGTCTAGTAGTATTAAACCAATATCTCCAGACTTTAGTTTGACTTCATTATATAAAGGGCATTTAAGCACTTGGGCAAGAAGGTACTATGGCAAGAGTCTACCCACTAACTTGAAGGGAGGTTTGTTTGAAATGGTATGGGAGTGTACAGCATAAACGAAGATACACTAGGTGAAAAGAGTTGCTAAATTTTTCTTTTAGGTACACGAAGTGAGAAAGGAGAGAGGCTGGCAAAAAGTAATATTCACTGAAATGGTAACAATAATTGGTATCATAACATTGTTCACATCACTTTTCTTTCATTGCTAACATTATTTTGATTCTTGGGTTCCTTTCAGGAAAAGGGAGATCTACTTTGGGAGTATAATGTTGGAGATCCAATAACGGCATCTGCATATGTCGATGAGCACTTGCAGCTGCTAGCTGATCCCCACCTTTCTTCAGACAGGTAAACTAATTGTACAAATGTGTAAGAAATTTCATTTATTTGTTCAACTTGTATATTTGTTTGCAACACTTTTCCAGGTTGGTTTGTGTATGTACTGGTTCTGGAAGTATACATCTGCTTCGTATCAACTTGGATGATTCTGGAAAGCAAAATCACTCTGGTTTAAATATAGTTCAGGAATTTGCAAGGTTGGAGCTCCCTGGAGAAATATTCTCTTCACCTGTGATGATTGGTGGCAGGGTTTTTGTTGGATGCAGGGATGATTATGTCCATTGCATTTATGTTGAAACTCAAAGCTCAATGTAAGAATGACGTATGAAAACAGAAGGGTTTTTGAATAATACTTCTGTCTCATCTTATTCAATAGAAAAGAGTACAATATATAGGATCTATGTTACCTAAAATAAAAGTTTTCATTTTTGACTTGATGAAGTTTCTATCAATCTTTATATGCTTCATCTTGTCTTGTTGAATGGGATTGTAAACAATGTCATGGTAGACTTGCTATCACTATATAATTTCATTGGGTTTTGTAAAGGAATTTCCAGTTCATCTAGTAACCTTTCTATCCAAACCAACTTGCAAATTCTTTGGGCAATAGTTCTGTATTTAGCTTATGCATTGCTTTTTGCTACTATGTTCTGTTTTTTGCTCTTTCAATTCACCACATTTCTCCATAGTTTAGTACAATATCAATAGTGGATTTGATGTCAACCATACCTGCTCAATTTGAATATGTAAATCCTTAAACATCTTTTGTTTCATTCTTCCTAAATAATAGTCCTTTTCCTAGTGTTTTCTTCAAATACTATAGAATTTGATTTACTACTTGAAGATGTGTTAGAAAATAATAAAAAATTATTTATAAAGTTTCATCTAATAATTTAAAATTTTGAATTAAGATGGTATTAAAGCCTCAAAAAGGTTTAATAACCTAACAAAGATCTTAGTTCAAGTCACTTAATAGACTTCAAAAGATGAATTGTAAGTCAGGGTAGTGTTAGAATTAGTGTTAGAGAACATATCATATATTACATAAATAAACAATCGATAGGTGATATATAAAACTAAGAAAGAATCATTCATCATAAAACTTAAGTTTTTTAAATGGAATCGAATTTCAATTATTTAACTTAAAAATAGTATTAGAGCCTTGATTATCAAAAGATCACGAGTTCAAATCTCGCCACTCATATTTTCTCTTCTAATTCAAAATATAATAGACCAATGTAGTATAAGTTTGTGCAAGTTTCAAGTTAAAAAAGCTTTTATTTAAAAAGGTTTATTAGAGAATAATATAAAATCTTTTTTAGGACTTTAGCTAATAGTATAAACTTTTCGTTTCGAGAGTTTTTGATAAGATGTCTCTTTGTAAGAGAGTGCGTAAAGTGACTCACAACACTCACAATGTTTAGCCTCGTCAATAACAAACATATCGGCTTCCATACCAAGTGTTCATACCTTTTCTAGTCTCCTAGTGGATCCTTCTCAATGTCTTATGTCTCTAATTCTATTTTAAAAGAGTCCTAATAGGTTTACACTTAAGTTTCAAGTTTTTTTCAAGAGATCAAAAATATACTTCCACTCAAAGATAAAGATACCCCGTTTACTTGTAGCAATTTATATTCCAAGAAAGTACAAGAGTTTTCCAAGGTTTGTGACTCTAAACACGAACTTGTAGTTGTCCTTTGAAGTTGTCAATTTCTTGAATTTCATATTCCGTAATCACCATATCATCAACATATACTATTAAAATTGATTTCCTTCCATCATATGCTTGCTTCACAAATAAAGTATGGTCAACTTGCCTTTGTTTATAGCCAAACTGTCTTGTAATGTTGTTAAATTGAGTGAACCAAGCCTAAGGAGATTGCTTCAAACCGTTGAGGAATTTCTTCAACTTACACACAATATCGGGCTTGTTATCTCTTTCAAATTAGGAGGCAATTTCATTTATACTTATTCCTCTAGATTATCATTAAGAAAAGCATGCTAACATCGATCCGGTGAAATTTCTAATCTAGATTAGCTATAAGAGACACCAAAACTTGAATAGATTTTAATTTGGCTATAGGTGTAAATGTTATTCTTTATTGTTAATGCCATGGGTTTGGTTGTAACCTTAGGCGACTAATCTTGTTTTATACCTCTCAATCTGTCCATTTGACCCCAACTTGATGTTGAAAATCTACTTACATCCAATCAATTTCTTTCCCTTAGGAAGATTAACTAACTCTCATGTCCTATTGTTTTCCAATGCCTTCATTTTCTCCATTATAGTAGTTTTCCATCTTGGGTCACCTAGGGCATCATGGATTGTTGTAGGGACATTTACACTATCAATTTTTGAAACACCTCTCTTATAATGTGATAACTTACAATATGAAAGGTAATTTGAAATCTCATGCTTAGTTCAAGATCTTACCTCTCTTTTTCATAGCAATAGAAACATCAAGAACATTATTTGTAATAGTATCTTCTTATGGTGGAACTTAAATAGAAAGAGTTGCATTTGGTTCCGAGTGATTGGCTTTGGAGAGGAACTTGTGGTCTTCCTAAGTAAACATAAAATTCACTATGAACTTGAAGAGATTGTTTCGGTTCTCCCTCTTAACTCTGTTTCCTAAGTAGGTTTAAATTAGGATGAAGATGTTGGTGGAAGCACAAGTGGTGGAGAGGCTAGAAAAGGGGATGATAAGAGAAATAGATGAATCCCATTGATTTTTTTTTCTTTAGTTAGATTTCTCCCTTTACGTAAAAACATTGGGGTGGTGAAATAAACAAATCCCATTGAATTTGTTTTTTTTGTTTTTTTGTTTTTTTTTTTGTTAGATTTCTCCCTCGAAGATAAGCATTGCGAAGTGAAATAGATGAATCTCATCGATTTTTTTGCTAGATTTCTCACCCTTGAAGAGAAGCATTAGGGTAGTAACTCCGATGTTCAAGGAAGGTTACATCATATGAGATTAAGAATTGTTTTGAAAGACAATAACACTTGTAACCTTTTTATATAGATGAGTAGCCAAAAAAGACGTAATTGATTTCTTTGGGGTTTAGTTTTCCATGGTTTGGACTTGTATTATGGACTTAGACCATGCAACCAAAGACTCGGGGTGAAAGTGAACTTAGAACATGTATATGAGGAAATAATTTTAGTAAACAATATAAAAGAGTACCAAATTTAAAGGTTTTTTTTTCTAATGGAGTTGATTAATGAGATAGTTGCAATTAACATACCTTCTCCCCGTGAAAAAAAGACAAAACATGACTAGTGAACATAAGGGTGTGAACTACTTCAAGAAGGTGACATTTTTTTTTTTTTTTTGTTTAGCAGCTCCATTTTCTTAAGGGATATGAACACATGAGCTTTGATGAAAAATATCATGCTCAATAAGGTAATCTTTAAGTTCATGCACAAAATATTCTCTTCCACTTGTCGGTATCCTCTCGCATAGACTTATATCTAATTCTATCAAATTGTAAACAACTAGAATTAATAATAAAAAAAATTATTAATATTAGCATAGTCAAGTAACATGAGTTGTATTGATATTCATAACTTTATATCTTAATTCATAATTACACTTGTTTCTTATGTATTTTCATTAATTCCTTTTATAGTTGGTAGAGTTTCAAAGTCTACTAATTGTGCATTACTCTAAATTTGCATTTTCTTAATTCGGATTTTCTTCATGTATAACTTGTTGCTCTTGTTATTCCATCTGCACCTCTTCTTATCCCTTTTGTTTTTTCTCTACTTGTGGTTGTTGCTCCTCTCTATTTATCTATAGTTAGATCCTCAAATACGATGACATTGATCTAGTTAGACATGATGGCTACTTCTCTTTCTTTTTATTATTATTTTGTTTCCTTCCTTTCTTCATCACAAATTATTTTTCACCACCTGTGGTAGTGCTAGAGTTATGAATGATTGAATTATACTAATATACCATGCCAAATAGAAGGAAATTATTAGTTCTTTGAACTTCGGTTGAAAAATTTGAGCTAAATCATATTTCTAACAAAATATATTACATGCCAAACAATATATCAAAAAAATCCTATTATCAATTGTTAAACTTCGGAAAGAAGAAAAATACCAGTTCAAGAACAACTAAACATACATGTAAACTAAAAACAAGTTTCTTGTTGAAAAAAAAAACATAATTTTCTTGGTACCATATATGTAAACAAATTAGCAAATTTTCTAATTGATAACTTTAGCATTTTATGCTATACGGAGCAATTAAAAAAAATAATAGGTCTTAAATTTCAGCATATATTCTCATTATAGCACCTATGTAGTGCCAAAGTGGAACTATAACAACTATATCATGTTTTGCCTATCACACATATCAAACCAAACAAATTTGATCTTGCTATTTTTTCTTTTTCTTTTTGGCTTTCTTTCTTTTTTGGCTTTTTTTTTTTTTTTTTTTGAATACTTCTACATTCTACAGAGCCGAAATACTACCACAATTTAGTTCTAAATGATTTTCCAAGCATAAATATGGAGTAGTCAAAATCAAGTAAAAAGCTTCTAAGTGAAATTAAACTTAATCACTCAAGATCTTGCCTAAATAAAGGAAAAGGAACACCAATATAAGTATGTTTTGAAAGATTTTTTATGCATGAATTACATACATGGCCACCAAGGTCATAGAAACTTCTCCAATAAAGTCTACAAATTAAAAGATGAGAAAAGATAAATGAAATGCCATATATGATCTACATAAAACAATAAGCACTTTGGCATATGTTGAACAAAGACAAGACTAATCACTTTGATTTTAGCATCCGATCCACACTCGGATTATGCTACCACACTATTTCAAGTTAAACATGCATAAATTTCAGATTTTTCAAATTGGCAAAAATACACAATCACAATCCTCGGATTTCCCAAATTGGCAAAAATAAACAGATCACAATCCTCTTTAAACATAAAATCACTCTTATACGAAAAAGGATGCAGCAAATAATATTGCCATAATATTTTAGTCATAACGCAACAAATGAGTACACATAAATTTTACTTACTACTTTTCAAACTTAACATGGCTACATAGGATTTTTACTTACCGCACTCAAACTTGACCTAACTGCGTAATTTTTAAAAAATGAGATGACAAAGCAAATTCTAATCAATCCTTTGTAATGAGTAACAAATGCAAATGAAATAATTCCAAAAAAACAAAATGGTTGCAAAATAAAGGAAAGTAAACCTATTATAGGAAAGGCAAATATAAAACCATCATTAAAAAAAATAATAGTTACAATAATAATTATAACAAAGAAACTTACAA